TGGCAACCCATGTCTTTAATCCCAGCACTCTGGTGACAGAGACAGGCAGATCCCTGAATTCAAGACAACATGGTCTTCAGAGCAAGTGCCAGGACAGCCAGGGGCTACACAGAGAAACCTGGCTTTGAAAAACAAAACAAACAACAACAAAAAGAGAAACCCTGACCTATGTCAGCATAGATTTTTTATTATTGTTTTCTCATTGTGTGTGGACATGATCCTGCTGCCTGTGGAGAACAGCATCACATTTCTGCCCCCTCCTGGGATATTGTACTGTTTCAGCCATAAGTGCCAAATCCTTCCCTTCCACATGCTTGCTTTCATGTATGCTTTAGGAGAATACCTAGGCATGGATGTTTATTCAAGCGGCTTGGAACACATTTCTCTTTTTCTCCCGTTTTGAGGGGAGTGGGAAAGGCCCGGTGTCACGTTTACCTACAGTGGCTTCGGCCTCTTCCCTCCCTGTCACCAGGTCACATAGCTGTGTCATCAGCGGGATGGAAAGCGTTGCCTAGGTCTGCATCAGCTGGCAGCTGCATCAGCTGACACAGGCATTGCACTGACCAAACCGAACTGCTTATTTTGCAAAGTCAGCCTGGCTAAACAATATGGCAGCCACACAGCTGCTGCCTGCTTGCAGTCCTTCTTCACACCCTGCCCTAGCCGACTCCCTATCCCTTTGGTCTTCCTGGGAATGACAGCTCCTCCCCTCCCCCAGCTTTTCCTGTCTCAAGTCTCAAGTGTGTGTGTGTGTGTGTGTGTGTGTGTGTGTGTGCTCTTACTCACATATGTGAGTGTGGATGTTCACCCGTCACATCATGTGCATGAAGGTCACAGGGCATCCTCAGGAGTCAGTCCCTGCCTTCTGTCTTGTTTGCGACAAGGTCTCCATACTGTTCACTGCCCAGTAAGCCCGGGAGTTTCCTGGTACTCTCTCCACCTCCCACTTCACCATTTGCTGCGATTACAGACTCATGCTGCCATGCCCCGCTTTTCTGTTGGGTTTGGGTGTTCAAACCCAGGTCCTCACACTTGCCTAACAAAAGGTTCACCAGCTGAGCCATCTCCCCAGCCCAACGCTCAAGCTCTTTTAAGTGCTCTCCTCACTGCACACAAAAGGGCATCTAGAAACAATGGATAATTTCATTGCAGGATTGGAACGCCATCAAATGGCTGCCTGTATACTTGTACTTCCTGACCTTTGGGGGGGGGCATCCTGCTTCATTAATAGTAGCAAAAGTTGCTACTATTGTTGTTATTGTTCTGCCATTTACTCAATAGTAACAATTGTAGCTACTATTGTTATTGGTGGCTTTGAAACGTGAAAGGCAAAAAGGCATTTTTGTCTGGATGGAGTTCAGGATCTATAAGAGGAATAGATTAGTAGCCGGGTGCACTTTGTATGTGTGGGTATGTACACACGTGTGCATGAGCATGAGGAGGCCAGAGGTCAACAGTGAGTGTCCTTCCTCAGAAACCATCTATCTCATTGGGAGGGGGGCAGCCTCCCACAAACTCGAGGCAGGCTGTGAGGCCCCTCTGCCTGCAGTCTCTACCTCCGCAGCACTGGGATTGCCAGTGTGCACCACCACACTCAGCCTATTTGTGTATATTCTGGGGGCTTTACACTCAGCACAGCAATCACCACCAATCGAGCCCCACCCCAAATGTGATCCCAACCCCCCCTCCAAAGATGAAACTATAATAGGGTGATCTTCATTAATATCTTCCACTGTTTGACAGGCATTGTTTTTTGTTTTGTTTTGCTTTGTTTTTAAATCTGGAAAAATAAGCCACAGACTAGGAAAATATTTGCAAAGCATATATATGTACAGTAAGAAGCTTGTATTTAGGATATATGAATAACTCTCAAAGTACAATAATAACAATTCAAACAATCCAATTAAAGACACATAAAGGATTTACCAAGAATACACGTGGAACACAAATAATCACATGAAAAGATGCTGAGCCTCATTTGTGTTTTCAGAAGACGAAACTGAAATCACCATGGATACTGGGATATTCCCAGAGTGGCCAGAATGACACAGATTCGTCACAAACATGGAGCACCTGAATTCTTGCTCTGAGGGCGGAGAGGGAAATGGCGCACGTGTGCTGAACACATCTGCCTGTTTTCCTGAAAAGGGAAACTGATGTCTGTCACACGAGGCAATGGCTCCATTTTCAATAACGCCCCCTCCCCGAAAAAAATCAAAGGACCACTTACAACAGCTTTACGTGGAGTAAGTGTCATGAATGGGTAAATATTATATAGGTATAATGAGACACCACTTAGCAATAAAAATGATGGCTAATTAGTATCCCAACAAAACAAATACTTTCAAACTCATGGTATGTGAAAGAATCCAGGTGGAGGAGAAAAATAAGGGGGTGATGAGTAAGACTCCATTTATCTAAATTTCTAGAAAATAATTGAGGGACAGATAATAATCAGCAGTTGCTGTACACCAAATAGAAAGGGGATAGAAAAATATTAGAGAGAAGAAATAGTCAGAAAAAATTTTTACAGGGTTTCTGTGAGTAGTCCTGGCTATCCTGGAACTCTCTCAGCAGACATATGGATCTGCCTGCCTCTGCCTCCCAAATGCTGGGATCAAAGGCATGAGCCACCACTGTCCAGCTAATGTAGAGGAATTTTACATGCTTATATAATTTATGTAAATAAAGCTAATATATGTGGTGTATCTGTGTGTGTCTGTTATTGACCAATGAGCCACATGATTGTTTTTCTGAACTAAAGAATCACTCTGTGGCTCAGAATGATGGCCTCCAATTCAAAATCATCCTGCCTCAGCCTCCCACAGTCTAGGATCGTGTGTCACCATGCTTGGCCAAGTACTGCCTTTTTTGTTGCTTTTCTGTTGTTGAAAATCATGGTGATGAGAAAAGGAGGGATTAGAATTCTGTCTTGGCTTTGCCCCTGCTTCAATTGCCTTGTCTAGAAAATAGGGACAATTATAGTACTTACCTATAGTAAATCAAATGCTTCACCCCTGCCCCTCATATATGCCCACATGCCAATCTCTCAGTATACATGAAGCTTATTAAACACATGCAAACACACGGGTGTGAGAGCACACACACATCTTTGAGGATGTGATTAAGTTAAGGATTTTCATATAAGAATATCATTCTAGGGTCTAGAGAAATGGCTCAGCGGTTAAGAACACTGGCTGCTCTTCCAGAGAACCTGGGTTCGATTCCCAGCACCTACATGGCAGCTCACACCTATCTGTAACTCTATTTCCAGGGTATCTGACACCTTCACACCAAAGCATATAAAATAAGTTAAAAAAAAAAAAAAGAATATCATTCTGGATTATTCTTGTGAATCCGAAATCCAATTATAAGTGCCCCAGTAAATGACAATTAATTTGATCTCTGAGACTTCAAGGGACCCTTGTTAGAGACTTAAGAACTGCAATTCAGGAGACATAGATTCAAACGGTCTTGCATGATTGTTCCAAGCAAAATCGGGAAAATGGGAACATGTGTGGGTCAGAAGCGCTGGTTCACTGCAAAGCAGTAAGCAGCTGTAAGAAGCTTCTGTTGGGAGTTGGGGAGATGGCTCAGCAGTTAAGATCACTAGATGGAATTAAGAGCATTGGATGCTCTTCCAGACTATAGAGTTCAATTCCCAGCAACCACATGGTGGTTCACAACTATCTATGGTGGGATCTGATGCCCTCTTCTGGCGTAAAGTTGTACATGCAGATAGAACATTAAAAAAATTTTAAAAAAGAACATTCATACATTAAAAAACTTTTAAAAAAAAAGAGCTTCTATTGAAGAGCAGGAGCTATGTGACAGGTGCAATAAGAAGGAAATATATACACACAGCTAATATCTCTCGAGTAAAACCTGATAGTGTGTGGGTACACTCCTTAAGTCTCAAGAGCAATATGCTCATCAGGCAAAGGTCAGTTTCCCAGGCTGTAGACTCAGTGAGGTCAGTTCAAGTCCTGGTTCCTTAAAGATGTTTTTACTCTAGTTTGAAAAACTCATTTAGTTTTTAATTATGATTTTCCCATTTATTTCCACATATGAGAAAAATACAGAGGGATTTGCAGCAAGCAGAAGGTGGGTATCCCAGACAAAGAAGAACATCTTTGTTGACAACACCATTGACCCTGAATGCTGAGAGGATGGATGTATTTCTGTTTTTTGTTTGTTTTTTTTTTAATATGCCAAATGTGGGAGAATTTTATATGAAACTGATTCGCAACTTCATACAGCACTGGTGTTACTTGAATTGCTACATTTCTCTACAAATTAAGTGAGTTAGTATGTTAAGCACGCAGGTAGTAAGCACTAGATAAATGTTAAGTGAATTTTGAAAAAAAAAAAAAAGAATCCGGATGCGAATGCCATTGCAGCTGGTTCTCGACATTTCTCCTTTTCTAGATTGTGACTGGTGACTGGAAACGAATGTGGGAGTGTCTTGTAAATGTATACAATTAAACCATGGTGACTATGACAAAAAGAACGGAATATTTATCTAGGAGGTTCCGCCAAGCCTGTAAGTTCTAGGGAAGGAACTCTATTCTCAACGCACTTGTCTTTTTGCTTCTCTATTAGTTGTTTCTATAAACCCCTTATTCTCTAAAAGCAATTTAGAACGGAAAGCAAGAGGCAGGGGCTCTCGGGAGAAAAACTCTTTGGAGGTCTATTTGAGCCTGGAGGCGGTCAGAGACCTGGTCCCCAGTTTCGTCTCCAGAAAACTACGACTCCCAGAAGCCTTTAGGTCGCAGGCTTGGAAGAAGCCGCAGAAAAGGGGTGGAGCCCCGGCAGAAGTCGTTGGCCGATTCCACCGTCCGGAGCGGAGGGACCACCTGGGCGGATGTGGCCGGATCCCGCGTTCCGATTGGTCGTAACTAGAAAGGGCGTCCGCCGTGGGATTGGTTCGGCCCTCAGGGGCGGAGACCCAGGGCGGCCGCTCGAATTTCCCGGGTTGGGCGCGCGGGGGCTGCCGGGAAGCTCTCGGGACGGTTGCCCACCGGGCTGGCGGTGGTCCCCAGTGGGGCTTGGACATGCAGAGCACTGACCTGGGCAACAAGGAGAGCGGCAAGATATGGCACCGCAAGCCATCGCCGGCCACGCACGACGGGTGAGGCCGCGGGCTGCGGACACCGGCGAGGGGGCGGGTCCGCGGGAGGCTGAGACCCGGAGCGTGGCGGTGGGTGCCAGCCCAGGGTTCTCACTCCCGCCAGCGCCCCAGCCCTGGGTTGGGACCGCAGGAGGAGCAAGCAGCTCCGGAAGCCGTAGGTTGCAGATGCGTCCCGGGTTCTGGTCCCTGGCCACGGGCAGCGGTCTGTTTATGCAAAAGAGTTTGCAGTTCTGCTGAGTGCCAGAACTCCTCCTGCTTGCATTTATGAATGCCTGTTCCCGCTGGGGAAAGACTCCAGGAGGTGATGGGAGCAAAGAAGGCAATGCACGTCTATGTCCAAAAGCAGAAGCTGGCCGTCCTTAAGTCATCGCACACATCTATAATGTGGAGAGCCTGGTGTGGGCTGGGCACTATGGGACAACGCTGGAACAAACTTAAGTTCTTCAGTTTGCACCGAGGACTGTGTGTCGCTGGGGCTGTCAACCAGGCGGGGCCTTCTACAGCGCCTGCACTTTTCCTTCAGTTTAGAGTAGTCGCCAGGTTTGAGACCCGGCCTTCTGTGTGACGTCAGCGGGAGTCTGCCACAGTGATACGTTTGTTTTGGTTCCCATGGTGCATGTGTTAAGTGATCTTGGTGTTTCTGATTGCCTAGGTTTGCACGGACTTCAGGTTTGGGTTCATGTCTCGAGGTTTGTTTTTGTACTCTAGAGACTTTTCTGTTTATCTTTCAGTTGCTTCTCCAGAAATCAAAATAAGTAACTTTGTAGGCTGAAAACGCGGTTAAAAGTGTTGGGTCAGCCACTTACTTGACCAGCCAGCCACTTCGGTTTCTGGTGGCTGACCACCCTTTATCACTACTATTATTGACCCACCAACCTATTGAATAAACAAATGTTGTCAACAATAGAGGTTCTCCAGCTTTTCCATTTCCAAATGTGGAGTTTGTGTAAGTAGCACTCTCTACCTTTAGCTTCTCTAAAAAAGTCTGAGAAGTATGGTCACTATGCCATTTCTTGCTGCTAGAGATTATCTCAATAGATATGTAAGATTAAAAAAATATTATGTACTTCTATGAAAACATAGTTTTTAAATTCGTGGTCCTCAACCTGCAAACAACCCTTTTATTGGAAAATATGGATGTTTATATTACAGTTCATAGCGGTAGCATATTTTCAGTTATGAAGTAGCAATGAAAATAATTTTATGGTTGGCGTGTCACCACAGCATGAGGCCCTGTGTTAAAGGGTCGAAGCATTAGGAAGGTTGAGAACCGCTGATTTAAACCCATTGTTGGGCCAGGGAGATTGTAAGGTAGATAAAGATGCTTGCTGCTTACGACTGGCTGCCTGAGGAAAGGATTTATTTGGCTTACATTTCTGAGTCACAGCCCATCACTGAGTGAAGTCAGGGCAGGAACTTGAAACAGAAACTACAAAGGAACCCTGCTTGCTGGCTGACCCTCACTGGGTTATGCTCAGCTAGCTCATGGGAAATACAGCTGAGGACTACCTGCCCAAGGAATGGTGCCACCCAATCGAATCAGTCCCCTGCAGACACACCAACACGTCTAGCCTAACCCCTTCCTCAGCTGAGGCTTTGTTCTAGGGTGATCCTAGGCTTGTGCCAAATTGACAGGGTACCCACAACTCCACAAAGCTGGCCTCTACCTCCACATGTTCTGTATGGCAAACACACGTGCACATTGATAATTACATTTTGGGGAGGGGGGTTTGAGACAGGGCTTCTCTGTGTAGCCTTTGCTGTCCTGGAACTCGCTCTGTAGACCAGCCTGGCTTTGAACTCACAGAGATCCACCTGCCTCTGCGTTCTTGGTGCTGAGATCAAAGGTGTGTGCCACCACCGTCCAGCAATAATTACATTTTTTAAATAAAATGTTGCTATGAGTTGAGAGAGACAAAGCTGAGCCAGGAGATTTGTTAAAGGAAGTACACGTTTACCAGCTGTGTCCTTGGAGCAGATAATCGATCGATCAGTCACTAAGCAGGGACAGTCACACTTAGCTGAATTCTACTCTACCATAATCTTATTTTTGTGGGTTGGCTGGTTTTGTTTATCACATTTATTTATTTATTGTATGTGCATGCCGCAGTGTACATGTGGAAGTCAGAGGACAGCTTTAGGGAGAGTCTCACCTCCCGTGGTGAATGAGGATCCTGGGGATTGAACTAGGGTCGTTGGGCTTGGCAGCAAGCACCTTTCCTGGCTGAGCCGTCCTGACAGCCTGGCTTTAGTTCTCACCTTTTAGCCCAGCCTGGGTAGTAATTTGTGATCCTTCTTCTGCCTTGGGCTTCCACAGTGCTAGGATTAAAGGTCCTACCCACCATGCCTGGCTATTAATATTGTGAACGATTGTCATCTGATTTCTAGCCTCAAACTGTAATGTCACAGAAAAAAGGGCTGAGAGGGAAAAGTTATTTGTTGAGTTTACTTGGTTGTATGAGTGTGTGTGTGTGTTTGTATGTTACTTGTGTGTTGTTCGTATGTGTTTGTGTTATTTGTGTGTTTGCATGTTATTTGTGTGTCTGTATATTATATGTGTGTTTGTATGTGATTTGTGTGTAAATGTAATTTGTGTGTTTGCAAGTGATTTGTGTGTGTGCTGTGTGTGTATGTTATTGTCTGTATATGTGATTTGTGTGTTATTTTTGTATGTTATTTGTGTGTTCATTTGTATGTTATTTTTGTGTTTGTGTTATTTGTGTATGTTTGTGTCTGTGTTTGTGTGTTATCTGTGTGTGTATGTTGTTTGTGTGTATGTTTGTATGTTTGTGTATGTGTTTGTATATTGTTTATGTGTGTGTATGTTATTTCTGTGTGTGTGTTTGTGTTATCTGTGTGTGTATGTTGTTTGTGTGTGTTTGTATGTTTGTGTATGTATGTTGTTTATGTATGTATGTTGTTTGTGTGTGTGTTTATATGTGTATGTTATTTGTGTATGTGTGTATGTTTATGTGTGTGTATGTTGTTTGTGTGTGTGTATGTTGTTTGTGTGTGTGTTGTTTATGTGTGTGTATGTTGTTTTTTTTTTGTGTGTGTGTGTGTGTGTGTGTGTTGTTTGTGTGTGTGCTCATGTGTGGATGTGCAGCTGTGCTGGTGAAGGCCAGAGATCAGCATCAGGTGTCCTCTTTCTTTGCTCTGCCCCTGGGTTTTGAGTCATAGACTCTCCCTGAACCCACTGGCTGGCCAGTGAGCTCCAGCCGCTGCCTGTCTCCCATTCTCCATCCCTGGGGTTATGGATGTGGGTATCGTGCACAGGTCGTCGTGGGTGTGTGAGGATCCAGACTCAGGTCCTCATGCTTTTGCATTAGGCACTTTGCTGACTGAACCATCAGCCCCAAAGGTATTTTGGTGTTATTTCAGGATAAATTTTGTTTTATTCTTCCTTACTTATTTTGGCACAGGGTCTCCTTTGCCTATTCTGGCCTCAAACTCATTTTAGCTGGGAATGACCTTAAACTTGAGATCCTCCTGCCTCCACACCCCAGTTGCTAGGATTGCAGATGTACAGTGCATGTGTACCACCATGATTGGCTTAATTTGTCGTCATTGTTTTGGTTTCTTTGTGTAATATCCCTGGCTGTCCTGGAACTCACTCTGTAGATCAGGCTGGCCTTGAACTCAGAGATCCACCTGCCTCTGCTTCCTGAGTGATGGGATTAAAAATGTGTCCCACCACTACCCAGCTAATTTTTGTATTTTAACGCCTTGGAACTACATAAAAATGAGCATTGTAAGAATTTTTCTATGTCCCAAATTGATCTAAGGAGCTATATATTTAGATAAACATGAAGAAAATAATTTTTTTCACTGCTGAGTATTCAATCTAGGCAAGTGCTTTACCAATAAGAAAATGTTTAATCCACATAATCAATTTTGCACATTCTGTAAGGTTTTTTTAAAATGAGATTTTAATTTGCAATATTAAAACTCTTATACAGGGGTCTGGAGAGATGGCTCAGAGCTTAAGTGCATTGGCTGCTCTTGCAGGAGATCCAGGTTTAATTCCCAGTACCCATTTGGTATCTTACAACCATCTGTGACTCCAGGGGAATTTAGCGTCTTCTTCTGGCATCTGCAGGCACCAGGCATGGGTGGGGTACACAGACATACATTCAATCAAAAGACCCATATGAATACAGCAAATGATTTTTAAAAGACTCTCATGCATTTTCATGATTAAATACTAAAATAAAGAGGGGAGTGCTGACATTACCAGCTTGAGACCTCTTAAGCTTCTGGGGTTCATAAGGTAGAAGGAGAACACTGATTCCTATAAGTTGTCCTGTGACCTCCACATGCCAGGGCACATACATACACACACACACACACACACACACACACACACACACACACACACAATTTTATTTTATTAAGATCTTATTTATTATATGTATGTACAGTGTTCTGTCTGCATGCATGCCTGCAGGCCAGAAGAGGGCACCAGATGTCATAGATGGTTGTGACCCGCCATGTGGTTGCTGGGAATTGAACTCAGGACCTCTGGAAGGGCAGCCAGTGCTCTTAACCTCTGAGCCATCTCTCCAGCCCCAGGTAAATAATTTAAACAGACTGGGATTGTACTGTTCTTCAAGACCAGAATGGCTATGCACGCTGTCTTCTCTTTTCCCTTTGTTCCTGAGATGTGATCTCACTGTGTAGCCCAAGTTCAAGTCCTGCTTCCACCCCGAGTCCTGGGATTATAGGTGTGCATCGCTATGCAACTCTCTATGTAGTAAAGGACCATTTTGTGCTGCTAGCTTTTTTCTTGAATTTGGTGTACATGTAGCGTGGCATATATGTGTCGGCTGGAAGACCACTTGTGGATGTCATTTCTCTCCTTCCATCACGTGGGCCTGGGGAATCAAACTCAGGTCCCCAGGCTTGGTGGCAGTCGTCTCCGCCTGCTGAGCCATCCCACTGACCCAGTGCTGTAACTTTTATAAACAGTTTGGCCAGAGCCCAAAAATCCTAAAAAAAAATAGTAAATTTATACAAATATTGCTGTACATTCTTTACAAAGTTTGCCTATAAAAGTAGTGTATGATTATTAACAGCTATGTATCAAATATAGAAGAGTAGGAGAAAGTCAGCTTTGTCCCTGTTCTCTGCACACAGCAGTATATGTGTGTTTATCTTCTTTCCCGTGCATACACCTTGTCTTTGGCATTTTCATTTTTAACTGAATGTTTGTGTTTGTTTGAATTTATGTATGAGCAATGTAAAGCCCGAGGTTAAAATGTTTAAATTTTCATGTAGCTTTAATGTGTGCTATATTTTTCTGTAGGATACAATTGAAGAATGAACTCCATTTCTTATCTTTTGAGAAGTGTGATCCATAGGGGTTTTGAAAGAGCAACTTAAAGCCCTCCACAGGCGTGGTGAGAGTGTGCTGTGTATTGCAGCTCAGGTGCAGGAATACAGTGGTGAATAAGTAACCCTCACAGCACACACCTGATAGGGTATTGTGTAGGTCTGTTAGCAATTTTCTATTACAGGAACAAGCTCTCATACCCTGTTGCCTATGCATCACAACATAGGCTATTCGTATGTATCTAAGTGTCAGCGGGGCAGGAACTTTGTCTGCCAGTTATTCCTAATGCCTGGCTTCTTCATTTCTACGGTGTTTCAGAATAAACTGATGGATAAATGAGTGCCAGCTTCTTTCTTAATGTATGGCTTTCTGAACTGTTCAGAAGTCCTTATAAGATGGATTCTGGGGAAGAGGAGGAAGTGTAACGGGAAGAATAAGCAGGCAGAGAGCCTTCAGTAGAACCCTATGTGTAAAGCTGGTATGTGACGTGGAATGCAATGTTGTGTTTTGCAGGATTATAGTGAACATTGTTCACAGCACTTCTGAATACCATCCGAAAGTTTTGCGGTTTTTGAACGTGGCTTTTGATGGCTCGGGTGATTCCTTCCTTGCTGGGGACCACCAGGGGAACATCTATGCTTTTGACTTGCATGGAAACAGGTAAGCCAATGCTTTTGATATGGACCTTATCATTACAAAGCTATTGACTGTTTGTAGTTCGTTACCTACCACTAATTGACAGAATGCTACTGAGTTCTTGGAATGCTGCTGTTAGTGCTGAAGTTAGAGCTGAACCCAGGAGGAAAGGAGGAATAAAGGGCTGGTTTTACAGGGTCTCGTTAGATCCCAGGTAGGCCTTGACTTGCAGCGATCCTACCTCAACCTCCCCCTTGCTGGCAGCCATCATCCCGACTGCTTGCACTGCCTTTCATTGAAAAGAAGCTATGTTGCATTTTATTATCAATGCATGTGCATGCATATCCTGCCACCACAGCATGGGTGTAGCAGCAGGTCGAAGGGTAACATCAAAAAGTTGATTCTCACCTTCCTCCATGTGGGTCCAGGGTCTGAAGTCGGGCCGTTGGGCTTTATAGCACCTTTACCCACTGGGCATCTTGCCAGCTCTGCTTGCTTTTTCTTTATTCAAATTCTCCATCACTGCTAGTTTATTGTTAAGTTCTGGCGCCTTATTCGGCAGCCTAGAAGTTGATCTCCTTTGAACATTTTTGTTGTAGTGTATAGATGATCTAAGAATTATCACCATCCTCCTTCCTCGACCATTTCCTCCAGAAGTGATTACTAAGTAGACTCGGTCTCTAAGTACCCATGTCATGAGGCAAGGTGGGAGGGAATGACTAGCAACAGTCCAGAGGTGTCTGCATGGGGCAGGTGTCAGTGATGGGCGTGAGCTTAGAGAGCCTTGATGAGTAAGGAAACACTGGGAGAATAGGAACCTGGTTCCTACACCGAGGAAAGACTCGATGTAAAGAAAAGAAGAAAGCCAGAATGAACCTTTTGGTTTTCGATTAGAGTTGAATTTATCACATGGACTCTGGGTTTGAATATCTGAGCAGATAGAAATAAACACAGACACCTGTGTGGCTAGAAGCACATTATCCATGTAAATTTTCCCTTGTGTTGCCTTCTCAGAGGGCCAGGATGACATGGCAGGAGCAGTGAATGCCATCAAGAATGCCAGTTCTTGGATCCCAGAGCTATTCCTTGAGAAAAGAAACCAGAGATCCTTGCAGAAGGGGCTAGTTTCAGAAATGGGGTGGGCGCAGTATAGGGCAAGCCTCTTAACATTTCACAGATAGAAAAAATCATCCAGAGAGTAGTAAGGACATGTCAGGACACAGAAGCCAGCATGAAGAAGCGCCCTTGGTGGAGATAATTTGAGCATTACAGTAAGTACTGAAAGTAATGTGTCATACCCTCTGATGTCAATCAAAATCCACATGTCCCTGCTGTAATCAGCGGTTTACTGTGGACCTGAATATGGCACAGTCAGACATTTTTCTCCCCACACAATTGTTTCATTTATTTTCTGGTACTGGGGTGAGCTCAAGGTTTACATGGTGTGCACCCTGCTACTGGGCAGCTTCCGCCTCACCACAAAATTCTTAACTATAGAAGAAACAGAATAATGGTTAAAACAAAAAGGCCTGGCACACACTGTAGAAATCAAGTTATTAAAGTTAATAGAACCTGTGAAAAGCTGTGTGGCCGGATACAGTAAGAGGTGCACAGTTCTGTGCAGTTCTTGCAGAAGATAGACCCTGGATGCAGCCTGTACGGGCATTCACTAAGGACTGTCCTGCAGGTGTCACACAGGTCCCGGTCGAGAATGCTGGGTAAAGGCGGTAGAACTTGCAGATGGAGGGAGAGGGAAGAGGCCATCCTTCTGTCAGGCATGCTGTGAGACAACCGGAGGGATGTAAAAGGACTGGGATGATTAGGTGGTGGGAATACACGGTGTTGGTGACTTCTCTCTCTGATCAGGAACACAAGCCACAGATTTATGTGCAGTCTGTTAGAAATCTGCTGGTGATCACTTCTGCTCTTTACTAAAAATAGCAACGAAGCCAGAGGTCCTGTCCTCAGCCTTCCTCGCTCACCTTGGCAGCCTCACCCTGAGTTGCTCTATCTCTCGCTCCCGGCTCCTGTTGGCAACAACCAGATGCTAGTTGGTGCTCCCATTGCGCCGTAGCATGTTGCAATTCAGCGGTCCACAGTGGTTCCTTATTCCTTTGCCATTCTCCAGTTACTGCTGGAAAAGCTTTGTAATTTCCTTGCCTGCTTGTGTTGGACACAGGTCTTAGTCTCACTGCTCAGCCTCCTGATGTGTGAGAAAACAGATGCCAAAGCCCATGTTTCTTCTTCCCCGTTGCAGCCTCTGTGCCTGTGAATCCCGCCATCGGTAACGTTTCATCTTGTTCACAGAAAGAGCTGCTTTCTCTGTGTCCACCCTGTCTTCAGTCTCCCCTGGGACTTCACATCTGGGTCTCTCTGCTGGGTTTGTCTGGTGTCTCGTTGCTTCCCACAATAGGGGAGGAAAAGTAATTTCCCCCTGCCTTGCTAAGCTGTGAGCCAGGGTTCTCAGAGCCAAAGACAGACTGGCAAGGGAGACAGGCTTTTACAGAGTGCCATACAGGTGTTGAGAGCGTAGCCACATTCCAGCTTATTTGCAACAGAAAACAATAAAACCTCCGAGAAGTGAACGGGAAAAGACTTGCCTCTCTCAAAAGGCAATGAATCGTGGGAAGGCAAATTTATGTGGAATAAAGGTATATTATGTTAATTCCTGTGACGCCATCCCCAAGCTGATAAAGGTCCACAGTTACTCTTTTAATTGACCTTTGTCCTTTGTGATAGACGCCCTTGTAAGTTTATTCAGATATATGCAGACCGGACAGATCAATAAGAAAAAGGCATCTAGCTTTGCTTATATCTGCTTCTTAATGTTTTCAGCTCAAAATAATCCTTAGACCAAAGTGGTGTGTTTTCAAGTGAATGCTCATGGCTGAGCTCATCAGTGAGCTGCAGACCCATGAAATCAGTTGTGATTATTAGCCCACTCTACTGAGCTCCCCCCAGAGCCTTCTTATTGGACCACACAATGGTCTCTCCAGCTTGCTTTATAGCGAAAGACTAGTACTTACTTCCCCTTCCGTCCTAGGCTTCGAGCTGCTCTGCTGTTTTGCCCACCTCTCTGGTCCTTCCTTGCCTGTGTTGCTGGCCTCTTCCAGTGCCTACCCTATACCTCGTGTTGCTCAGGCGCCTGCCCTGGGGTTTCCCCTCTGCATTCCAAGTGCTCTTTTTAATGATCTCATCACCAGCGGAACCTTGGATGTCTTGTAAACACAATGTAGACTTTACTTCCCGATGTACCCTGTGTGGAGCTTTGTGACAGCCATTAGCTGTGTACAGCCCTTGAACCTTCAGAAGGTGACCAGATACATTGAAAGTGTGATGCTGAAATACACACTGGAGTTTGAAGACTCAGTTTGAAAAAGAAAATGGAATATTTGATTATTTGGGATTTGAATATTTAAATTAATTGTATCTTTTTCTTTACTATAACATACCTCCTAGAAAATTTAAATTTATATAAACATTGTGCGGGGGCCTTGAACACAACACCTTTAAGATAAGATTTAAGGTTCCCTATTCTCAAGCTCCTGCTCTTTTTCCTAAGCTCAGAAGCTTAATATTATGTAAATGAAATTCTAATTATGTGCCAAGCTCTCTCTTAAGAACTCATAATGTATTGTTTAATTTGATCACAACAAACCCCTAGGATTCCTATTCTTATCTTCCGTTTACACTTGAGAAATCTGATTCCTTCTCTTCCCCCATGTTTTCTGCATGCCAGATCTCTCTTGGCCTGACATAGCCGCTCCTGTGTGTCCTTTCCACTTTGTGCTCGTGTCTCTGGCTCATGTTTTCTCTAGTAGCTTTTATAACCGTCACCTTTTTTCTCAGTCCCTCTGTCACTTACCTTGGCTTCCATAAATATCTTCTCAAAAGGTGTGGCAATTGTAATTCTGCTGTACTGAATTAATAGAAACTAATGAGTGGCTTCCCAGCTGGGGAAGCAGAATCCAGTCTCCTTCACAGGGTTCCTGAGAGGTAACCCTGACCTGGCATTCATTTTCAGGTGATAGGAATACCTTCATCATTCACAGTGGGTGGCCTCTTAAACCATCATGTCTATTTTTAACCCACCATTTCCTAAGTCTCATTTTCTCCTCCAAGACTCTACCATCGTAAAGTTTATGATCACTGGTAGAATTTCTGATACTAACACAGCTATTTCTTATAGGTTTGCTCTTGTACAGCGAACGGCACAGGCTTGCACAGCTCTGGCCTTTAATCTTCGCAGGAAGTCCGAGTTCCTTGTGGCATTAGCTGACTATTCTGTTAAATGTTTTGATACAGGTAAGAAGTCCGATTTGTCTTTTGAAGTGGAGCGAAATATAGGCTAGCAGACTTTGAGGTGCTGTGTAGTCTCTGGAGCAGCTGGGTCAGGAGTGTTGTCACTTCGGGTAGCCACAAGCCTGGGGACGATTCCTGCTCAGGTTAGCTGATTCAGAGTTTCCAACCACCTTCAATTCCAAACCTTCCAGAAGACTTGGGAACTAAAGCTTTGTGCATGTGACTGACCACAGTCTTGCTATAGGATGTCCATTAGAGCCAGCAGTGGAGAGATGCGTAGGGTCGGATCTGGGAGGCTCCTAAAAGGACACGGCCATCGCCTTCCGTGATGAGTCACCCTCCCAGCACCTACACGCTGTGACTCTGCTGGTTCTTACTGAGCCAGGAAGTTTGCTCAAGCTTCGGTTGAGGCTCCGTCACACACACATAATTAATTGAATTATTGCCTGTGCATAGATGTGAGGGCAATCTGACGGTAACATCCCTCACCCCATTATCACCAGGGTTGAAGTATTGCCTATGCCCTCTTGATATTCAGTCTGTTAATGTTGCTGGTCTTTCTGGTAAGACCAGCCACAAGTCTTGCGTCCTTAGTAGAAGCCATTTATTTATTTGTAGCTAACGGTAGCTGAGTAATAAAGGTATTCCTGTCATGTGGGAAACTCCGGGAGTTCAAAGATCTCTCTTTCAAAGCCCAGTTCTTTACTATAGTTATCCCAAAAAAAAATCATTAATTAACAAAAAGTCCCATATATATTGCAAAACACATTACATAGATTTTTTTTTTAAATAAGCATCCTGGAATGTTATAAATTACACCCCTTATTCTTCAAGCCAATCAGAAGTAAACAGAATGGCCTCGGTGGGACACTGGGGCTTGGGTGCTGTCGCATAGTAACAGCTTTATGTTGCAGTGTGCTATACAGTGTGGTATGTCTGAGTCTCTGCTCTACAAATAGTTTGAGGCTGTGACCCATGCCCTGGAAGAGAACAGCAGAAGTGATTGGATGGGGCTGTAACAATCCAGGCAAGAAATGGGGGAAAGGCAAAGGAAAAAAAGAGAACAAATTCAAAAGCTGTCAACACTGGAGAAATGCCATCTACGCCCTGAGCTTCCGGGCTCAGCTTATACAAGCAGGGCTGATACTGTGACCTCGTGTGATAACATAAAGAACAGGCTTAACATGGTGGGGACAAGCTTAAGTTTGATTTAAATAATTAACTTTGCCAGGCATAGTGTCACACACCTGTCATCTGGGGGGCCCTGGGAGGTTGAGGTCCTCAGTAGGTCTCATATGAGCTTTCCACGGTTATATCATACTAACACTCCGTGTGGTAAACGTTAGCCACAGGCTCCCGGAGACGCCTTTATTGACCCCTGTCCATCAGTTGAATGAGTCTGTGCATTGTGTTTATGTGTAGTGTTTTATTAACCAGTGAGTGATACTTCACGTGTAACAATTTTCCTGTCACCACAGTCACCAAGGAGCTGGTTAGCTGGATGAGAGGACATGAGTCGTCAGTGTGTTCCATCTCTGTGCACGCATCCGGGAGATACGCCATCACTACATCCTCTGACACAGCTCAGCTCTGGGACCTGGATACTTTCCAGCGGAAAAGAAAGCTGAATATCCGCCAGTCTGTGGGGATACAGAAGGTCAGTGCTTGCCTTGTGCCTCTCCTGCTAGTTGCTGGGTCACAGGATTCAGAGGGGTGGAATAGTGATGATTTGTTGTATCTTCAGTAGCAGCGTTCTTACAACACAACCCTGGCCAACGAGTCGGGATTAACGGTTGTTTGCAGTTGTGTTCAGAGCACTGAAATGTTTCTGTTAAATTATTACAGCTGTGAAACTTACGCCATCGTAAGTGGCCGATTTTAAGACGTTTCAATTTCTAACCCTTTCCCAGTTTGCTATGAACAACTTTAAACATACAGCAGATTTACAAGAATTTCATAGTAATCATGGACAGATACTTGTCTTCTAGAGTCCTTCATTAACATGTTACTCCACGGTACAGTTTGTTACATGTTACTGTATGACCATCCCTGTCCCTCTGATCACTGGTTGTTACTTGTGTATTTTAAAATAAGTTTAAACTTAAATGCAAACTTCATTGTACTCAAGTACGTAAGCCTGCATTTAATCAGTCACAGTTGAATTATTTGTTGATAGAATATTTACATATGAAATTTGGTGAGTAGGACAGATGTGTAAACTTGAGATGAGGGAGGGTTGGGCTTACTGTTGCCTGAGGTATTTTCATCATATCCTTCCTCTCTTTACAAAGGAGATGAAAATATGCTTTTTATTGAGGATTCATTTTTTTTTTGCATGTAAAATTTATTAAATGTGAGTCTGTATTGAGGTCACTCTTCCATGATGGAAGCCACACAATGGGAATGACCAAAGCTGTTCATACAACACTGTGTTTAATTAATCCAGGTGTCTCCACTGATATTTGGGTTCAGAACTGTCTGAGCCAAATACTAAGCCAAACACGTCTTAGCTTACTGGTGACTTTTGCTACTAGCAATAGTCACCTGCTTCTTAAATTTAAAGGAAAAAGAAAAATAACATGAAAATAAAATCCCTGCGTAGTGAAGCCAGATTTTTTAAGGAGTAAGCTGACTAAATAAATAAATAAATAAATAAGTAGCATACATCCTATTAGGCCTCCAGAGGGAAAACCAAAATAAAGCAGGGCAATCAATCAATCAGGGTCCATCAAGTGATTGTCATTAGCATTTAATTACCAGAGTGACTGCCAGCACATGGACTGAAGGTTGGGTAGAGGAGGATGGCATGCTCGAGACAAATCAGGATTCAGTACTACATACACAAATGCTGACTTAACTCCATTTTAATTTAGCCAACAATCACATGCATTGAATTCATTTTATTACATGTATTTATATTCTTTTCTCAGTTCATAATTACATGAATACAGAATGAGCTACTTTGCAGTGTGCATTGTTCATCACATCCTTTCATGGATATTTCTGATTTTTTTTTTAACTGTGGTTTGGTTCGATCTATTATAAAGCTCATATAAATCAAACTATTTGATAATAATGTATATAAGATCTGCTACATATTTTGTTTATATATCTATACATATATACATATATATGTATATATCTATATTCACGTCACCTTTGGAAGATCCATTTACCTTGCTTTCAGTGTTTATATTTTTTTCCCTGATTAAATACTGTTTTTAGTAGTAGCTGTGTCTCCCTGAGATGAATTGCTTTATTTATTTATTTATTTAGTTAGTTAGTTAGTTAGTTAGTTAGTTAGTTAGTTAGTTAGTTGCTTTATGTAGGCTGTGTTGTAATGTGGTCTGCCCTTATTCTCTTTGGTATTAACATGAGCAGCTAATGTTGCATGTCAACCCAAAACTTATCCTGCTGCCTCCATGGAAATCCCAGAGTTCATCTGTCTGCTCTCAATAATTAAAAAGAAGATGGAAGCTGTTGCCAGCGTGTTCCTTAGGGACTTGAACCAAATGTCTTAGTAGGTCTTTTCTTCTTTAATTGCTTTAGCACTCAAATTGAATTCTAAATCCCAAAGCTGGGAGAGGAATGGGAGTTGAACCTTCGATGGAGACGGCTGTGGAACGGTGACAGGAACCTCTGCTCTTAGCATGTTTGCCAGCATGAACTTTGTCTGGTCACTCAGACATTTAGTTAAAAGTGTCCCTAGAGTTCAGAGGGAGAGAGAGACAGTGTGTGTGTGTGTGTGTGTGTGTGTGTGTGTGTGTGTGTGTGCGTGTGTGTGTGCGTGTGCGTGCGTGCGTGCGTGCGTGCGTGCGTGTGTGTGTGTGTGTGTTTACACTGTGATGCATGCGTGTAGCTGTTTGTAGAATAGTGGAACACTGTAGTATGTAGGTTACCGCAAACCCTATCTTAAAGAGAGATAGCTCATCAAACAAGATGGCTCAGCAAGTAAAGGCGCTTCCCACCAAAGCCGATGACCTCAGTTGGATCCCTTGGACCCCCAGGGTGGAGAAGGAACTGACTCTGCATGTTGTCCCCTCACCATGTGTGCGCTGTCACGTATGACATACAAACACATGTGCACAAATACAATACAAACCCAAAATTATATAGCCCTTTAAAATGAAACTGTTTAAAACTGGTGTGCAGCCTATGCTTGTAATCTCAGCACCCAGGAGGCCATAGGATTGCCTCAAGCCAGTCAGATGTGCATAGCCATTAAAAAGGAGGTGGGGGCAGGTGATAGTGGCTCATACCTTTCATCCCAGCATCCAGGAGGCAGAGGTGGGAGGATCTCTGTGAGTTCAAGGTCAGCCTGGTCTACAGAGTGCGTTCCGGGATAGGCTCCAAAGCTACAGAGAAACACTGTCTCCACAAACCAAAAAAAAAAAAAAAAAAAGAATAAATATATAAAAATATTCTTTGTTCCCAGGCTATGCAAAATTTGGAGATGGGCAAATAGTTTTTGCTAGAAATGGAAGCTAAATGTAACCCAGTCTTCAAATTAAAGCTTTAATTCTGACCAAATTTTAACTGACAGAATAATTTTATTCCAAGTTTTGATTTTGTACTTTAAGTGGAACTTTTATTTACTTTGATAATACTGGGAAGTTAATGTCATGATAGTACTTTTAATCTAAAGCCATGTCCCATTCAGTGTCCCGGTGATACCAGTTTCTTTAAAGGTCAGTCACTTGGGAGAGGCCTCATCCCTGCCCTGGTCCTGCCCCTCCCATCAGGGTTTAACTTGTTTCCTGTCCTCTGTAGTTCTTAGAAGCAAGAAGTTAGTCGAAAGGCTTGAGTAGATTCCCGGTAATCTCCACACCGTGTTTAGCCAGTGTGGGATCAGAATAGTAGCTGTACCTACCTCAGGGATGACATCGGTGTTTAAGGTGACAATATATGCAGGGCACTCTACACAGTGCTCAGTAAAATTGGTGTGTGTGTGTGTGTGTGTGTGTGTGTGTGTGTGTGTGTATTATGAATGTGGGACAGGTTGACATAGCCCAGCCTGGCCTTGAACTCACTGTGTATCTAATGATGGCCTTGAACTTGATTTCCAGCCTTTGCCTGCAGTGTGCTGGGAGCTTGAGTCCAGGGCTTCATGCATGGTGGGCAAGCGTTCTACCAACGTCGCTGCACCCTGAGCGCTCTTTAAAATCTGCATAGCAACATTATTTTTCTTTACTAATAATTTAAAGCTCACAGGTGTTTAACTCAGTTTATATTAAAATATGATCTGGCAGCCTAATCTGAACTGAGCTGGCACAGCCTAGAACACGAATGTGTGTGAGGATGAGCTGCTGGCCAGACCACATCCTGTCCTAGTGTGTGTATCGTATTGCAGCCCCTTCTCAAGCTGGTAATAATGCTGACTCTGAACCGTCTTTGCTCCTGAGATGTCCAGATAGATGACTGTGGATCTTTGATTCCAGTGTTCTCTGTGGTTCTTAGGTGTTGTGGGTTCTTTTCTGGGGGTGGGGTGGGAAGTGAGCCTAGGGCCATGTGTTAGGTTGCTGAGGAGCTCTGCCTGCCTGCAGCCAGCTCTTAAAGTGTTCTTGAAGGACTGCCACTCCAAACTCATTTCCACTGCATTTTGTGTGTAGTATAGCAGCGATTAAAAGTCAGCCAGGCACAGTGGTGCACACCCTCGTCTCAGATGCTTCGGAGGCTCAGGCAGGATGACCTCACGTGTAACACAAGATGTTAAAAGTAGGTTTTGCATCTGTGTATTTATTGTGTGTGCATGCACACACACAAGCATGCCATGTTGTACTTGTAGGGGTCAAAGGACAATTTCCACAAGTCAGTTCTCTCTTCTACCACGTGGGCCCTGGGACTTGAACTCGGGTTGTCAGGCTTGGTGGCAAGTGCTTTTACCCATAGAGTCAGTCCTCTGGAGAATTTTGAATTCAAAGCCAGCCCAGGCAACTCAGTGTGTACCTCATCTTAAAACAATCACAGGTAGTAAGAGATGCCAGTTGTTGGATGCCTAGTCTGCAGCTTCGCACCGCCCTCCCTCGCTTCCTTATGACAGATCAAGCTATGCAGCTGAGGCTGGTCTAGAACTTGAGGTGGGGTCAAGCTCTTTATATTGACCTAGGCTCTGAGTGCTGAGATTATTCAAGCATGCTTCAGCCATTTTCATCTTAAATAATCCTAAAAGGCATACCGCTTTCCAAAAGGAAAACTAAAATTCAGAATCATTAAGTAACTGGTCCAGTGTCACATGGCTTAAGGAGTGGTTTTGGTGAGAATCCAAACCTGACTTACTGCAGTGCAGTCCATGGTACTATACTGTGATTTCATTGGAACCTGTCACAGAAAAACATAAAGGGACACGGGTCTAGATTAAAGGTGCCATCATGAAATTAACTTCATAGTGAAGACCCAAAGTTTCTTTGAGAGTCTTGTGTGTCATCGGTGTAAATAAAGGTCCCATTTAAAGTGCAAGAGATAAAGAGGTACACCTCTTCAAATGAGTAACTCCTGGTTCTTGTGATGCTGTTGTGTTCAGTTCTTCAGTTGGGATTTGGAACTGTACCCTTGTATTTGTGATTACTTTCCTTCAATATGTACATGGGAAAACACTTCATGATGCCCGTCAGAAAATGTTTCCTAAGGAAGGTTCTTGTACGTCAGTCTGTTACTGCGACTGTCCTGGATTGTTGTTCCGGTTTTGGTTTTGAAATGAGGGCTCACTGTTTAGCCTAGGCTGTCCTTCACTTACTCTCCCGGCACAGCCTCTCTGGCTGGGATTCAGGACTGTGCCACCATCTCTGGCTTTGGTTCTGTCCTTAGTTTTTCAGCGCACACAGAGTGTTGCACATGACAGGCAAGACTCCTACCACAGAGAAAGCCAGGATTTCTGAGCTGTTAGTAAGCAAATTGACCAGAAAGTGCTTGGTTGGGTGTGCTTGTCTCCCAAAGGTGTGTGTGCTGAAATTTGTCCCAGATGTGGCCATGCCGGTGCCTAGCAGAACCTCTAAGATGGTCCACTCTTAGAGTGCTGGGATCTTAACCTGTGGGGCACAAGCGACCCCTTTGGGAGTTGAACGACCCTTTCACAGGGGTCACACATCAGATAACCTGCATATCCGATATTTACAATTCATAACAGTAGCAAAATTACAGTAATGAAGTAGCAATGCAATGATTTTATGGTTGGGGGTCACTGCAACACGAACTGTGTTAAAGGGTCTCAGCATGAGGAAGATTGAGAACTACTGCCTTAGAGCATCAAATAGTCTTAGGAACCCTGAGAGAAAGACGGGAAGGCAGAAAGGAGAGGTGTAACCGCAGAGAGAAAGCAAGGAAGCCTTGTTGCTGGAGCTCTCTGGCGCCCTCTGCAGACCCTGCCACTGTGCCTCCTCGAGACCCACCAGAGCCTAGCAGGAGCAGGCTGGCAGGCACTAAGCTCTCTGCCCTCCAGAACTGTGAGCTAAATACATATTTCTTTACAAATTACCTAGCCAACAGTATTTCGTCATGGCAACAGAAAATGACAAATACAGAAAGCTTAGAGTTGTCATATTCCACAAGGAAACAAGTCAGGCCACTTGAGCTCAATTGTCCCCCTCCTGTGCATTTTGTTAATTTTTTGGAAGTTTTTTTCTAAGTACTTAATGTTGTCAGGAGATGACATTATCTAAATAATAATGACATGTTTCATTAGGAACAATTTTATAATCATTAAAATCTAGCAATTAAAATCACAAATCTGGTAATGAATAATCATGGAGGCAATAATCTTATCACAGCTATTCACCTAAAATAGCAGTTGGTGCTCATTAGCTTTTAGGCCTTTGCTGCTCCCGGTAGGAATAAACTTTATTACTTTTCTCCAAAGAAATGACTGCTAATTAAAGGAAGAATTTTCTGAGTCACTTTTTGACACCAGTTTTAAAAGTGTAATGCATTCGTTATGGATTGTAATATATTCGTTGCAGAGTCTTTCTATAAGAGCATGTTATAAATCTTCTCACATCCTGAGTCTGTATCAGAAGGCCAGCGATGGCCTGCGGCAGAGTGAGCCGAGCACAGGTGAGGATGGACCCTTCTGATCCTGCTCTGTCGGCATCTTGTGTACTTTCAGTGAGGCTTTTATGTGCCTTGTTGACGGTGACCTTAACACGGTGCTTTATTCCGTGTACACGGTTACCTGTGGCATAAATATGCACATATACACGTTTTATACAGATAGACTCAGAGAGTTGTTGGTGATCAATTTCAGTGTTTCGGTTTTTGTCCTGGGGTGCCAAGGATGGAATTGAGGAGCTTCTGGCATGCTAGACAATCACTCTACTGTTGAGCCACAAGCACACCCCTAGCCCTAGCAATACTTTAGTATTCAAAAGAGACTGGTTAAAGCTTGTGTAACAGAAAAGTGGGGAGCAGAATAAAAGCTCTCTTCCGCTCTGCTATCAATGGGCTTCTCCCTCGGTTCTTTATTAAATACGTTACATCGGGTAATAATTGTGGTTGTATGTACACTTTCATTTCCTCGTATACAGAATGTTTGCATTTATCTTCACCTTTTCGGTTATCCCCAGAGGACTTAGTCTTGCCAGTTAGTTGGCTAGCTCAGTGGGGATGCTTTGGAGGCTCTCCAGGCCTGTTGTAGTATCTTATCTAGCAGCAGACTATGACAGAGCCTCTCCTAGGCTTCCACCAACATGTAGTGTTCTCTAGCGAGGTTAATGTTTTTAATAGTGTTCGTTTGACTATAGAGTCATAATCCCTAAACGATGAGGGTGTTTTGAGAGATGCCTTGTTGAACAGATTTGTTGCGTGAACATGGTGACATATTTACACAGTCTGCATGGTACAGATCAAGGACTTGGTGGGGGGGGGAATCTCTTGATGTAGTCATGAAACATGGGGCATGAGGCGCCTGAAGCAACAAGTTTTAAAGAAAAGTGGGAGGGTTATAAACTGAAGCGGGATTGAGAGTAGAGTAGGCGTGTGGACCAGAACAGTCACTTATTATTAGCGCGTGAGGTCCTGTGCGTCAGTCACGCCTCGTACTGACATTGCACCAGCATCACAGAGACTGAGGACACTGAGCAGTGAGTGGTACTGCACCTTCCACCATCTTCCTCACGTCCGTGGGACAATAGGCAGATGACTGTACCATCCATCAGTACATTGTCATTTGCACAGGTATATAAATATGCTCATTAGCTGTAAAACATTTGATTCAGAGATATCTAATTTTCATCAGATTTTTTAGATGCAAGCTGACAAATTTTAAACTGTTATTTCGAATTTTGTGTACTTCGTCACTTCAGTCAACTTTTTAGTTGAAAGGATTTTCCATTTTTGCTTATTTAATAGCTTATCAAATACTGGTACTGTGCTGTCATATTAACGTGTGTTCTCGCTAGTGTAAGAAGATCAGCTTAACATGGAGGAAATGGCAGTGCATAGTTTTAACTTTAAGAGGGCTGCGTGGACCTGGAGTGAAAAGTGCCCTTTTCCGTCTCTAGGTTTTCTTTCTTCCGTTCAGTAACACCATCCTCAGCTGCTTTAAAGATAACTCCATCTTCGCCTGGGAGTGCGATACTCTGTTCTGCAAGTACCAATTGCCAGCTCCACCCGAAGGCTCTAGCATCGTGTACAAAGTGTTTGCTGTGACCAGGTAATGGGTCTTTTTAAGAAATTTAGTTTCCATTCAGAATCTGGAAAAAAACAATTCCTTCAGATTTAACTGTGATCCGAAGACATTTGGCTTTATTGTGCAAACTTTCAAGACAGGGTTTCTCTGTGTAGCCCTGGTAGTCCTAGAACTAGCTCTGTAGACCACACTCCTTGCCTCTGCCTACCAAGTGCTGGGATTAGAGGCGTGCAGCACCACTGCCCAGCTCTTGTGCAAACTTTTAAGTATATGTAGAAATGGAGAAATCTACAGACTCCTGAGGAGTGTACAGTTGTCAGCCAAGTCTGTTCCTGTTTCTGTGTCTGTCCATTTCTCTGTTGTATTGCTTAGGAGCAAAGCTTACATGTGTCATTTTGTTGGTAGATATTTCAATGTGTATTTCTACCTTTGGGGAACATAACCATACTATTATGATCAAATTGTACAAATTAGCAAGCGCTTTTTAAAATTGTCCTATAGCCATTGCTCAGACGTATGTTATTTGTCAAATCGCTGGTGCTGATGACAGCTGTGCTCCAATTTGGGAGTACAGCAAGCTGAACACATCTCATTTGGCTGGTGTAGCTCAAGAAGATTTTTTCTTGTGGTTGAGGGACTAGGTAAGTTGTTCAATAAATAAACATTTGCAAGGTCTTAAAGACTTGAATTCAATCCTTAAAACTCATGGTTTGGGGGGTTGTTTGTTTGTTTGGCTTGGTTTTAAAAAGCTAGGTGTGGTGGTATATTCTTGTAATCACACAACTGGGAAGGTGCTGGCGAGCAAGTCTGTAGGGTTTGTTGGCCAACCAGCCTAGCTGTTGGCCAAGTTCCAGGCCATGGAGAGTCCCTGCTTCAAAATGAGACAGACAACAGACAGACAGATAGCTTGTGTGTATGTCTTTCAGCCTCCACATGCACCTGCACACACACACACACACACACACACACACACACACACACACACACACCATCAGGGAAGGTATGAGGACACAACTGTTTCTGTAGTCTGATCTTTCTCCGTGTGGTGCTGCTCGATGTGACCGTTTGTCATCTCGTCCCCTGCACTGCTTACCCCTGTATTTCCTGAAAACAAGGGCTCTACCCAGGTAAAGGCGAAGACATGGTGGTTTAAGCACTTTTATCAGGAGCAGCGTGGGCCGGGGTCTCTCAGAACCTGGGTGGAGTCTGTACTCACCACCTCCCTCAGCATGGTGTGAGGTACTAGAACATTAGTGCTGTGCAGTCCTCTTGTCCTTGGTTCGTTAGCTACTCTAGCTCCGTCACTCTTGGCCTAGTAATAGCTTCAGTTCTGATGCCCCTCACTCTAGTTCCTTTTCTATTGTTCCTTCGCTTCAGATTCTGCCGCTCGCCACTTATGAATCAGAAATTCTAAAAGCCAACGTTACTCACTTTGACATAGCTTGTGGAAAACAGTGGATGGGCAGATTGATGCTTGATCCCCTACCCCTGCTTTCCCTTTGTTGTTTTGCTATTATTTTGGGGTTTGCTTGGTTTTTTGTTTGTTTGTTTGTTTGTTTTTGTTTTGTTTTATTTTGAGACAGGATCTACCTCTGTGGCACAGGCATACCTCAAACTCATGGCTATCTTCCTGCCTCAGCCAGCCTAATGCTTCCCCTTTTTTTCTAAAACCAGTTTTCAAAGTAATGCATTAGTTTATTGGCATCTTCCAAAGAAAGCCATTAGCCCCCGCCCCATCATTAATCTTTTCAGACTCATGAATTTACTGCCCTTGGAAAGCCTCAAGCCGTGGTAGTTATACCTGGTTCTCTCGTTTCCCAACAGTGGGACTCTCTTCAAATTTGTTTAAACCCTTTTGATATTGCCCTGTCATCTGTGATACTGCCAGAGCTGCTGGGCTCTCTGCTCTCTGGTGTGTCTGAGTGTTCCAGATTGTTCCAAGCCCACAATCAGCTGTTTCTCTAAAGAGTGAGTTTGAGATGAAGGGAAAGGATGATTTGAAACCCTAAATGCCAGGGAGACTCATGGATGGGCTAGTCATTTATAACCCTTCCCAGACCCTGTGGATGACTAGGAGATGAGTTGGGTTTTTTGTTTGTTTGGTTGGTTGTTTGTTTGGTTGTTTGTTTGTTTGGTTGTTTGTTTGTTTGGTTGGTTGGTTGGTTGGTTGGTTGGTTGGTTGGTTGGTTGGATGGATGGATGGATGGTTGTTTGGTTGGTTGGTTGGTTGGTTGGTTGGTTGGTTGTTTGGTTGGTTGGTTTTTGTTTGTTTGTTTGTTTGTTTGTTTTTGTTTTTTTGTTTTTTTTTGCTTTTGGGTTTGTTGTTGTTTTGTGATTTTTCAAGACAAGGTTTCTCTTGCACTGTAGATCAGACTGGCTTCGAACTCACTGAGATCTGCCTGCCTTTGCCTCCCAAAATCTCCCATTTTTTTCTTAGGCCTTAAGGAAATCTCACCAACTCTACCAAACATATAGTGAATTTTTCATGTTCCTCCCCTCTCCCCCACTGGCATAGAATTCTTATCCTAGTCTCTTGCAGACACTGTAATATACTGATTGGTCTGTCTTTATTCCTGCTTCCTAGATGTCTCTGCCAGCCCAGTAGAGTGGAGTCTGCACACCATTACACATGGTATCACTTTTCTAATTCCCTTTTGAACTTTCCACTGTACTCAGTAAATCCACACTCCTGCCTTGTCACCCGGGATGGCACCTGCTGCGGGCCTCCTCCCTCTCTTTCTTGTCTCTTCCTTCCCTCCGCTCCCATCAGACTGTTTCTTACCTCTCCTTATATAAGAATTACCTTCCTTCCTCAGTACTTTTACTAGTGAATGTAGAATTTCTGCAAATGTTCCTACAGTTGGTCTGTTCATGTCATTCCATGAGCAAGTCTTCCTTTGCAGCGTTTGGGGCCTCTGCTTACAGCTGTACAAAATTTCCTCCGGCTGGCGTCAAGTTTGTTTATTTGTTTGCCTTTTTCTTGCACAGGACATCAGGTTCCCAGCACCCACATGGTGATTCAGGTCCACCCATAACTCCAGTTCTGGGGGTTCCAGAGCCCTCTTCTGGCCTTTAAGGGCACCAGGCATATAAATGATGCCCATGCAAACATTCAGGCAAAACATTCATACAAATGGTTTTTCAAGACAGGGTTTCTCAGTTTAGCTCTAAAGGGCTGTCCTAGAACTCACTTTATGGACCAGGCTGACCTCAGACTCACAAAGATCTGCTGGCCTCTGCCTCCCACGTGGTGGAATTAAGGTGCATGTTAATATTGCCTGGCTAATAAATAAATCTTTAAAAACGATGTTTAAAATATAAACATGCCTCAGTCCCTGGTAACTCATTCAACAAATCAGCAATGGCTACAAATTCCAGCTCTTCAGAAAGCCTGAGCCGCCTTGTGTGGTCCACAGGCCACATAAAGCTTTCCATTTCTGGGGAGAATAATGTGTTCCCAGAGTTCAGGAGTTGCATACGGCCAGAGGTGCCCGTGGGTATCATGACTGTAGTCTGTAGTTTACCTCACATGCATCTCTGCAGGGAGTACTTACACACACACAGAGCTGGGGGGGGGGGAGTACTTCCACACACACATCCCTGCAGGGAGTACTTACACACATATGCGCGCACACACGCACGCATGCACGGATGTTGTGCCCTCACTGTTTTGGTTTTGGTTTTAAATGTAGAGATGGCCGAACCTTGGCTGCTGGAGGCAAATCCAACCACCTGCACCTGTGGTGCTTGGAGACCACAGAGCTCTTCAGAATCGTCCAGATGCCCACTAAGGTCCGAGCTGTGCGCCATCTGGAATTCCTCCCTGATAGCTTTGACGCTGGGTCTAATCAGGTTAGTAACAGAGCCAGCTCCCGCTTCCAGGGCATGTTGGCTTCTTGTTCACACGCTTCTCTTCTTCCTTATTCTTGAAAGATTCCACCTTTATACAATGTTATATTAGCCATGCCCACCACACTTCCTCCCTCCACCTCCCCATAATGCCCCACCTCAACTGCATCCCAGCTTCATCTTCGTGGGCTCTTCTGTAACTCACAGCATGACTAACAGGATTCTAAAATTCTAAGTATGTTTGTGTATGTGTGAAGAAAGAACTCAAAATCTTGTGTTCTTTATTTAATATTACTGATAATAATTGTTTTAGCTTTAAACTGACAGTCATGAATTTCCAAGTTAAATTCATGTGTGTTTTATGTAGTTATACACACACATGCAGTATGTAAGCACATGGGCATCTTATTTGTTTTACTTAAGATTTCTATATTGTTAATTCATTCTTAGGGTTGGAATTGTAAACTTACAAAACGGCATCGGTGGTAAGCCCCATCCTGTCCCCTCTTCATCTAGTTATTCACTCCTACCTATCACTACTATTGTTATATGTAACATGTCTTCTCTCTCTACACAGCCTTATACCTTCTTTGGTAATGATTCTTTATTAGTACAAAACGCCTTTATTTCATGTTTTTCTTTTAACTATCCCTCTGTTATTGGGCACTTAATATATTCTAAATCCTTTTCATTATAAATGATGCCTCACTGGATAACAATACATCTTTGCAAATATCATTTTCCATATCCTGTTTGTAACATAAAAGTCCCAGAGTTGACGTAGTCTCACAAAGACGTCTGTAATTAGAACAGGGTCTTTCCAAATTCCCCTCAGGACAGCCTGTGTGCTGCACATGTGGAGGGCTGTGCCAGCCAGCCAGCCAGTGGACAAGCATGTTTTTCCTGTTAACACCACACAACAACACAATGCTGGAATGTCAACGAATCATATGTGGTATAGCTTACAGCCATTGTTCCCTAGCCCACGGGTGCAAGAGGGTTTATCCATGGAATGTTTTCAAATTATATGACTTAAATTATTTTCCCTTTGAAGCCTAGCTGTGCCCCTACTCCTGTACCATAATCTAGTATACAACCCATAATCTCAGTCCATCCTACAAATATCAGTTAGACAGCTGAGGATTGGTAGAGTAGGGAGCCTTCGGTAAGAGCACATGGGTCTCTTTACAGCAGTGTGGAGGGGAGGGTCAGCAACTGATCCTGTGTCTCAGTAAAGGAGGCAGCCTGCTTGGGAGCCAGAGCCTTCCACAGTTTCCCAGGGGGGTCTCCATACCGAGTGCCAGAGTCAGGCACAGCCACACAAGCCATCCTTAGTGCTCTTAGAATGCGCAGTGGCTCACTGGAAGTTGAGCTGCCCTCTTAGAAATTATTTAAAACAAATACATTAGTTTTAAAATATAGTTACATGGCATGTGTGTAAATGAACACACATGTGCATAGTCTCTCTTTATACACATAAAGGCATTTGGCTTTCAAATGTGACAGCCCCATTATTTCTGTGTACTCAGGTTCTTGGTGTGCTGAGTCAAGATGGGATTATGCGATTTGTCAACATCCAGACTTGTAAACTTCTCTTCGAAATTGGGAGTGTTGAAGAAGGAATTAGCTCATCAGTAATTAGCCCACACGGTCGATACATAGCATCTATTATGGAAAATGGAAGCCTGAACATATATTCGGTTCAGGCTTTAACACAAGAAATAAATAAGGTATGTCATCCAGGAACGGAATCTGCTCTCTGCACTTCAGTATGGTGCCACCAAGAATGCAGTGTTTCTTCTGTGCTGTTCTCCAACGTCTCCAGGACATCTGGTTTTTGCTATATCCTGGCTCTGCAAGAGTTGCATCTCCAGCTCTGATTCCTCACCAGGCTCCTTCTCAGCATGGTGCTCAGCCCATTAGTGTAACCCTGGGTCTCTCTTACAGATGAAGTCTTTAATCCCGTGGCTTTGTTTTGGCTTGCTCTTTCTTCTCATCTTGTAGGTTACAAGCCTTGATGCTGTGACCTTTTTTGTTTCTTTTCTAATCTAGTCTGCTAAGTCATGGGATTTCTTAAATTATATATATATATATATATATATATATATAAAATCTACCTCCACCTATTGTCTATCTATCCTCTATCTTATCTATTACCTATCATGTAGCTATCCATGGTCAGTCTGTTACTGTCTGTCTAATCTATTACCTATCATGTATCTATTCATCATCTCTGTTACTGTCTATCTTCTTATCTGTCTAGTATCTTACTGTTTGTCTATCATCTGTCTCTTATCATCTATCTGTTATCATCTTCTCTGTCTATCATCTGACTTTGCGACCTGTTCTCTATCTTGGTCTTTATTAACTAATTCCAACTTAGAGTAATTTAAACAAAGTTCCTAAAATCAGTATTAAGGGCTACCCCCTCTCCTCAGTCCATCTTCTACTGACATTTATCTAAAATAATGTTTTCATCATCTTTTTTTAATGATTTTTTTGTGTGCACATTGGTGTTTTGCCTGCATGTATGTCTGTGTGATGGTGTCCAATCCCCTGCGACTGGAGTTACAAACAGTTGTGAGCTACTGTGTGTGCTAGGAATTGAACCCAGGTCCTCTGGAAGAGCATCTAGCGCTCTCAACCACTATCTCTCCAGCCCATTGTCATCATTTCTTAATGTTTTAGCTATAAATGTTTTATCATGTTAGTAATGTTAATAAATGTTTAGTGTAGGTGTAGGCGCATGTGGGCCATGCATGAGTTTGGTGGTCACAGGTCAGCTCTCAGGAGGCGGTTCTCTCCATCCACATTGTGGGACCCAGGGGTAGAACTCAGGTCATCAGGCCTGTGTATTGTTGTCTGTCCCATCTGAGCCACTCACCTGTCCTTATCGTTTGTTAATACTTAGTAGCTTCCCTCTTGCATTTTCCCACACTCATTTAATACCCTTGGACCCAGCTAAAGTTGAGTAGGACAAGGCTTTTATTGTTTACCTCTCATACTACAAGCACAGTATCTTTCCAAGTCTGTGTATAAAGTCACAAGTCTTGCATTTTAGACTTTGGATCTTTTTATTGTGATTTCATTATTCATGCTGCCCGCCCCCCCCCCCCCAAGAATAGTTCTGAGGCACAGTTTGGATTTCTTAAGCACAGAAAGCTGTGCTGTGTGCATCTTTAGAGGGAAAATATCTATCCTAAATTCATTTAGACATGAGTTCTATTGCTATTAGCTTTGAAGTCAATAATGTATTTCAAGTAAGATTTCTTTAAACAGAAACCATATCAAAACAAGGCTATGTAGTGCAAGTCAGTTGATGACGTGTGACTGCGGCTCTCTAACTTTTCCTGGAGCCAGCGGTTCTGTTTCTACTCATTCAGAGCTTGAGATAATTCTATGTGATTTTATACTTGAAATGACAAGATTCATGTAATATATGTGTTCATGAATGTGTGTTTGTATGTATTTTTACCATATGAGGTTATAATCTGTTCTTACATATAAACTATATTATATAAAATATGCAATTATAGATATCAAGCTCTGTGCTTTTTATATGTTGGAACATTTAATATATGTTATTTTTTAAAATCATGGGTGTATTAAGTGCTCTTACTGAGTGTCTTTAGCCTTTTTGTTTGGTTTTTCTGTTCAATGTGAGCCACCTGCTTACACTGCTGTGCCCAGCACCTGGGAACACAGCCAAGGAAAGCGAGCTCCAAAGTGGAACCCTCTTTTACTTTTAGGGCACATTGTCCGGTGTGTCTGCGGCTGTTACAGCTGTGTGGATGTCTAGCCACATTTCCTGTACAAACCTTGACCCTCCTGGGCCCCTTTCTTCCGAGTTTTACTGTGCCTCGTTGTCATTAGAGAACTTCTAATGTTCTAATGGAGACAATGGATTGTTCCGTGTTCATGACAGAAGAGGGGTTGAGTCCAGTGCCCCAGCTCTAGCCTCGGGGAGGTTGTGCTTGAAGCCAAGGATGAGGAAGTCATTTCAGAACTGAGACTTCAGTGGGAACTTAGAATGGACTGAAGTTAAGGAATGAACAGTTCAGCAGTGTTAGAGGATGACCATAATTCGGTCGAGTCGTTTTGATTCCATCCCGAGGTGAAGAATTAAATCACAGAAGTGGGCTCTGTGCCTTGTGTTTAGATCTCAGCCCATGTGACCCCACGTGTTCATTTCCTTTGAATAAGGAAGACCTTTTGATTTCAGAGTGCCCTTTGTGAAGGAAAGAAATGTTGTAGGGAGTAAATTGTTAGATTTCCCCACTTGACAGCCCCTAAAGGTGAGCTCTTAGCTCTGCCTGGTCTTGCCTGAGCTGCCTCTTAAGCAGTTGATGGGGGAAGGGACCCACAGCCGTGGCTGTGCAGACCGCAGTCCCTGACCTCTGGCAGTTCAGGGGACCCCGCCGCGCTCCTGCAGGACTTTCTCTTGAGCCCTGGGCCTGTTCTGTTGGGGTGCTTTCCTCAGCATCCCCCCAGGACATCCGTCTAGCCATGCCTTCTCTGTGTCATGTCATGTGCTGACTTCATCGTTCTGTGCAAAGGGGTTTGCAACCTTTTGGGAATAAATTCTACTTATTGTTCATAATCATGTATATTTATTTATTCTTTAAGGGAATTTGACAGCTGTGTACAAAGTAAAGCATGCTGTTGATGTAAAGTTGATGAATCGCCTACCTTCCAAGAATACCCACTGTGGAAGACACATATAGGTCCATAAATACATGGGATCTTTTATCTCCTCTTTCAGCCGCCTCCTCCCTTAGTTAAAGTGATTGAAGATTTGCCTAGTAATGCACTGAGTTCCAGTGCTCTTAAGATGAAAATGGGGTCAGGAAGAGTACAGCGGCCAGCAAAATCTAAAGAGAGCAAAACTCAAACCAGAATACTCAAGCGAGACCTGACGGGTGATTTAGAAAACAAAGAGGTAAGAATACATTATAGTTAAACTCCAGCTGGCTGAGACCCTGCTGTCAGCTCATCTCATCTGGGCTGGTGTGTGGCTGGTGTGGTACTCTGAATCTAGACTTAGCCTATCATGGTGGCACACACCTGTAATCCCAGCGCACACGTGTGAGGTAGAGGCAGGATTGTGAGTTTGGGATCAACCTGGGTTACACAGTGAGACGCTATCTCAAAACAAAACACACACAACAAACCCTGACAGCTGAGTTCCATCCTTGGACCCCACATAGTAGGGGAAAAAAACCAACTCTGGCAATTGTCCTTTGATCTTCACGTGTGTTGTGGAATAAAAACACACGTGCACATGCATGCACATACATTCCATATGCACATACTAAATAAATAAATGTTTTTAAAAGATGCTTTAACTGTAAAACACATGCAGTAAGAAAGTAGGAAAGCATAGAATATGAACTATCTTATGAATTGATTTTATAGCGGTCATGTGTTAAAGTGATTATTTTGGTTATGTTGGTTTAAATTATATTATGAAATTGATTTTTTTCTGTTTCTGTCAACCTTTATCACATTCCATTTGTGACTTGTGTTGGATTTCTGTTAGTGCTGCTGTAGAAGGTTATGAAGGGAAAGCAGGAAGCATGCTTTTTACCTACGCCCTCTGGAGTTTGTCATTGTACCCCTTGGAGGCAGCCAGTAGTGGGATCGCCTTGAGAGAAAGAGTTCAGAAAGTTTTGATTTTTAAAATTGTGTGTGTGTGTGCATGTGTGTGAGTGTGTGCACGCGTGCTGGCATATGTGACCTTGTTGAGATCAGGGCAACTTTGAAGGCAGTTCTCTCCTTCCACTGTGGGTTCCCAGGGTCAGACTTAGGTACCAAAACACTGAGCCATCTCAGATCATCTCATTGACCCATGTTCTTTACTAAAATGGATTTTCTATTCTTTTTTAATGTTTATTTCTACAAAGCATATGTAGTATATTGAAACAGAAAGGAAATTCATCAAAATGTTTAACATTTTCTTCGAAATGCCTTCTTATTGACAATACAATACACACGTGAAGTACACAGTGAATTATCCCAAACTGGGTGTGCCCATGCTGCCAGCACCCACACCAAAGAATGGGATGTTACCACTCCCTCTTAGACACGCCCTTTGCCTCCGTGAGCAGGCTCTCTTTGCTGGAGATTGAACTCTGCATTACACGTATGTACTAAGTATGTGCTCTGCCTCACACCTTAGCCCCTTGATACACCATAGGTTTTTTTTTTTTTTAGTAAATACTGTCTGTTTTCCTAAGCCGTTGAGGTAATTCACATTCCTAAGGCAGAAGAGAGAGTTCTAGTTATTCCATAACTCAGCACACTTGGTAGCTTTCACATTGATTTTAATAATTTTTTCTATAAGCATTTAAATTATAAAGCTTCCGCATATAAAGCAGACTCCACTTAGTGAAAAGCAGCTCACATTGTGTTATGCTGGTGTCTTCATGCTTGGTGCTTTGTTAGGAGGGTGATAGGAGTGGATTTCATTTGCTATGGATGGCTAGACTTGAGGGGAGGAGGGAGGAAACTTGTGTGCCAGGGCCTGGGGCCGGGAACATTTCTTTCTGTGTATTGTATTCAGTTTTGCTCCGTTGTTTGAGACAGGGTCTTCCCTGCAGCACAGGCTGGCTTCAGACTCGTGATCCTCCAGCCCAGTGTCTGGGTGCTGAGATTGCCATCGTGCCTTTCTCGAGGGCTGTGCTCTAAAGTTTGCAAGTTACTGTGAGCTAGAGTACCACGTTGTCATTTGCACAATTGTCACTTGCTGATACGATTTTTTTATAGAATGAATTGTCGGAAGGATTAAATAAAAAACGTTTGCAGATCTTATTAAAAGGCTATGGGGAATATCCAACAAAATACAGGTAAACCTCCAATCCTTCCAATCTAAGTCAGTCTTACTCAAAGCAAGTTTTTCTTATTTAAAATTAATGTTTTATTTCAGAATGTTTATTTGGCGCTCTTTACTACAACTGCCTGAAAACCATGCTGCATTTAGTAGCTTGGTGGACAAGGGCACCCATGTGGCTTATCTCAACCTTCAGAAGAAATACCCCATCAAAAGCAGAAAACTGCTCAGAGTATTGCAAAGGTACGTTCAGCACACGGCAGCGATGTGCAGGGATGTGAGCCAAGAAGTGTGGGCTCCCATACCCCTCTCAGAGTCCTGCTTGGTCAGTGTTGACCGTCCTTGCCTGATATGTAGAGTTATTTTAAAAACAAAACATACACGCGTCATGTATGGATGTTAGTTTGTGTTATGTTCCAGATATGTAGGGTTATTTTAAAAACAAAACATACATGCGTCATGTATGGATGTTAGTTTGTGTTATGTTCCTGCAAAGTAATGGAAAGAGCTTGGGCGTTAAGACAGATGACCCAGCTTTGGACTCTTGAGTCCATCGTCTAATAAATGATAAAGGGTATGTCTTTCCTCCCCCATCCTTATGAGGTTGGAGCTCATAACCTGGCATTGTGAGAGTATTGGGGTATTTGAAGACAGTGTCACTTGGAATGCTTACATAGTAGACACTTGGTAAATGCTAATCTTAAGCCTAGTATTTCCAGGTACGCAAGTGCGCCAGCTGCAGCCCTCTCGATGCACCAAGCTGAGCATGGCTGTGAAGGTGACTCAGCACAAAACTGGAAACTTAATTAAAACATTGTGAGATTCTTTTTTTTCTGTAACTGGATCACACAATTCTCAAGTGTGAACTCTGTAGGTGACATCATGTCGTGTCACAAGGCTGAGCACAAATGTCTTCATTGTTAGGTACATACGTATTTAATTTATATTAAAGGTAGAGAAACTAAGGCATGGAGTGGTTGGGTGATGTGATCCGGTCACTTTTATTGGGGGCTGAAATTGCTTCTAGTCTCTAGAATCCAAGGCCTTTTTCAGAGTTAAGTTTTTATGATGAAAAGATACAAGCTTGTGAAAACTGGGACACCTTAACGATAAGCCTGTGCCATCGCTAGCTTCCGCAGTTGCCAGCTCGTGGCCCATCTTGTTCCATCATCCCACCCTCTCCACAGTAGTCTCCCGCTGCCTGCCTGGACGTACATGCACATACCGTGCTAGACGTTTACACGCATGCCTCTAAAGGCTGGAGGCAGCATTCCTCTAACCTGAGCATGCACACTGCCATTGTCCCCACTTGGTGGTTTGCAGGGTGACATTGTTGGTGGTTTCGTGTACTCACGTTAGGAGGGTTGTAGCCACTGATTGTTTCTCTCTTGAAGTGGGCCTGGTCATTGACGATCATCATCTGGATTCGTTCATTGCATCCCAGAGATTAACAAAACACTGGCCATCTGACAGAATGACCATTCTGTCATTCCTTCTCTCTTATGCGGAAAATTTCTATTAAAAAAAATTGTCCGGGGGTGGTGGGGGGTTAGGGAAATAGTTCAGTTCATAAAGCACGTGTCTTGCAGGATCTGAGTTAAATCCCCAGAACCCACATAAAAATCTGGGGTGCGGGTGCATGTTTGCAATCCCAGTGGTGCTACAATGGAGGCAGATCCCTGGAAGCTCAGTGGTCAGTGAGTCCAGCTCCATCGCTGACGTTCTGGGCCAGGAAGAGACCCTGCCTCAAACAAAACATGAAGGACACCTGAGGACAACAGCTGAGATTGTCCCCTGACCGCCTCACATGGGCAGGGCTCCTCACACACCTGTACCTCCCCACATGAAAACACACACACACACACAAAGAAAGACAAGGTTCCTGTTTTCAAAATGGTAAATCTTAGAGTGCCCCAAATAATAAGTTTATACATTATAAACCTAGATTTAAACATAGGCCTTTGCAGTGGACTGGATCAGGAAAGAGAACAGGGTTTCACTTTTCTCTGCTCATTTTACCATTGTAACCATCCTGTGCAATAGGTGTCTACAAAGCCAGTTCTAGGACAGCCAGGGCTACTCACAGCAACCTGCTCTATAGAGGGAGTCCCAAGACAGCCAGGGCTACTCAGAGAAAACCGGCCTCAAAAAACAAAAATCATCATCATCATAATAAAATGTAATAGAAATACTAAATTTAAAAAATAAGTTCAACAGAAATGTGTATGAGTCAGCATTCTCTAGAGGAACAGAACTGATAGAACAAATACACACACACACACACACACACACACACACACACACACACGTTCAGAAAGGGGATTTACTAGAATGGCTCACAGTCTGAGTCCAACAATGGCTGTCTACCAATGGGAAGTCCAAGAATCCAGGAGTTGTTCAGTCCATGAGGCTTGATGTCTTAGCTGGTCTTAGTGTACTCCGGTCTTGAAAAAATAGCTCTCATGCCTGTGAGAGAATGGACTGACAGCAAGAGTGAAGGCAAGAAGACAAAGAGAAGAAGCTTCCTTCCCCCTTCCTTTGCACAGGCTGCCACCAGAAGGTAGAACCTGGATAAGGTGGGTCTTCCCACTTCAAATGATTTAATCAAGAAAAAATCCATCACAAGTGTCCCAGCCACTCCAGTTTTAGTTATTTCCAGATGTAGTCAAGTTGACAACCAAGAATAACCATCATGGCATGTTGATAAGACTTTCAAGAGTCTTGAGAAAACAGACCGTCCTTCACGGTGTTGGTGGCAATGTAAACAGACATCCTTCACACTGTCAGCAATGTAAACAGACATCCTGTGGAGCATACATGCCATCGGCTATTGAAATTGCAGCTGTGCATGTCTTACGTGTTACCCAAGTCTGTTCCCACATGAAAAGGATGCATGTGTAAGATACTCAGAGCATCATTGTTTATGAAAGCAGAAGACCCTAAGGCCCAATGACAGGAATCTTATTTAAATAAGTAAGATACCTCAGCACAAGGCTCTTGTAGGCCCCCAGAAAACATCCTGAGGGCATGGTGTAGTATTGACTGAAAACTCAAGGCAAGGAGCAGTGTCTGTGTATTACCACCACTTGTATATGGGGTTGAGTTCTTGTGGTGGTGAGGGCGGATTGGGGTTGTTGTTTTTGTGTGTGTGTTTTGTTTGTTTTGGTTTTATTTTGAGATGGGATCTCACTATGTGTCCCTGGCTGGCCTGAACCTCACAATGTAGACCAGGCTGGCTTCCAGTTCCCAGAGATCTGTCTGCCCCTGCCTCCTCCTTGCTGGGATCAAAGGCGGGTGCCGCCACCACCCAGTGCTTCTAGAGGGGACTGTGTGATGGGGTGAGGGAGAAAGTCTCCACCCAGGCTGAGTGAGTTACTCAGACATTCTACTGGTGCAGTCCCTTTCTGGGCTTTATTTGCTTTCTCTATTTCCAGAACCCTCTCTGCCTTAGCTCACTGGTCCTCGATCTTCAGCGACACACCGTATCTTCCACTCTTGGCCTTTCCATTTGTAAAGTTATTCCAGAACAATCAGCTCATCTGTTTTGAAGTTATTGCTACTCTAATAAGTAAGTACTTCACAACTGCAGAACCATGTGGAGAACGGAGTCTCTCATGTCTTCCTGGCACTTTGTCTCACTTAGGGAATCTAAATCTCTTTATTTTTGGATCAAAAACTATGAAACAGTCAAGTTTAGAGCAAAAAGTAGACCACAAGTTCAAGGCCTGCCATAGAATCCGTCATTTATGTGTGGAGGGCTGGAATTCGGGGACAGTATTGTTGGGGACTGGATTCAGTTAGACGGAAGTAGGTCTCACACTTAGTGGGGATTGGTTGCTTTTCATAGACCCGCTGTAGGGTGGAGCTCTTTTTCACACAATGCCTGCTGGGTAGTGCTGGCTGCTGCCCTCATCCCCACCATCTGAGGCTCATAATTAAGCAATGTATGTGACACAGTGTTTTACCTGTGTGATTATATAAGATTATCCCCTTTCTAAAGATGAGACCGAGGCATAGAGAACCCACGTTCTGAGGCAGTCTGCTTCTGGTCATCCACTGTGTGTGTCATTCTAACAGCAGCAATTGCTCATTAGCTCAAATTTAAATGTATGATAATAAATGAAATAATAGGTTCTAGAATTGGAACTATATAAAACTCTGCTAATGAAGCTTCTGATGATTTGAGATGGGAGGTCATAACATCCAGAAATGCAGCTTTTCTGGCTGCTGTGACAAACACCTGACAGATGCAGCTTAAGGAAAGAGACTCATGGTGCATCCTGGGAGGAGAGTCATGGCCACGGAGCGTGAGGCAGCCGATCACACAGCATCCTTTAGGGCCAGTGCGAGTACTTCCCTTGTATTCCTCCTAGAGCCCCGTCTATGGAACAGAGCCACCTGTTGATAATGACTCTGTACCTCTTTGAAACTTCTTTGGAAATGTCCTCACAGACATGCCTAGAAGTTTGTCTCCTACATGACTTTAAGTCCTATCAAGCTAACAATAAGGGTAAACATAAACACATAGCCTTTTCTGAGAAAATCCCTTTGTTAATCAAAGACTAGAAAATATGGGAGTCAGCAGGAACCAGAGGGTCTAACATGTTGGATTAGGAATGGTTTGGAAGCCAGGCAGTGGTGGCTTTAACCCCAGCACTTGGGAGGCAGAGATAGGCAGGTCTCTGTTAGTTGGAGGCCAGCCTGGTCTATAGATCTAGTTCCAGGACAGGCTCCAAAGAAACCCTGTCTCAGAAAACCAAAAAAAAGGGAATGTTTTGAAAGTGTGTGTGTGTGTGTGGTATGTGTGTACATGTGTTTTTATTGACACATTTTCACAACTGCCCTGAAGAAATTGGCAAATTTTCTTTATGCCTAAGTTACTATTTCAACACCATGGAGTTTTGAAACCATGTTGTGGTAAAAACTAAAAAGATATTATCTCTTCCTTATTCATGAGCATATTAAAGAGCAAAAAATGCTGGCCTGTGATCCCAGCCAATCCAGAGCCTGGGGCAGGTGGACCACAAATTCAAGGCCTGCCGTAGAACCTGTAACTAACTAAATGAGTAAACAGGCTGGGGGTAGTGGTTGGCGTTGAGTAGTGTGTAGAAGGCACCTGTGTCTGACCTAGTGTGGTTGCCTGTAATCATAACATGAGGTTGACTGAGATAGGATCAGAAGTTTGAGCCTGGGATATGAACACACACACACACACACACACACACACACACACACACACACACACAGACTGCCTCAAGAAAAAAAAATCCTTTTATAATACATAAAAATATTTAAAGACAAATTCTCTGATTTTTTTCCTTTGTAGTCAATTGGTGTCAACATTGGTTTGAGTACTTTCCTAACCCTCCCATCAATATTCTTAGCATGATAGAAAATGTTTTGGCATTTCATGACAAGGAACTGCTACAGCACTTTATAGATCGAGGTGTGACTTCCCAGGTAAGAAATAGAGGGGCTTCCCAGGTAAGAAATAGAGGGCTTCCGCGTGGGGTCATTTATTTTGACTCTGGTATGGATAAAACAGTATTTCCCCCCAGTGAATAATGAAAGGTAGATTTTACTTGGTAATTTTTATAATATGTAAATTGAGTTAATATAGTGTGTTTGTGTATATGTGGGTGTGTGTACACATTTGTGGGCATGTATGCAGGACTTACACCCCCATCACCAGCTTGATGGCAAACAGCTGTGGGCACAGAGCTGTCGTGCCACAAGATCTGTATTTTTAACAATTGGCCATTCTTCTTTAAGTTACCTTCCTGAATGTCTATGAAGAGAATCCAGATAGGGGCTGAGGATGCAGCTCAGTGGTGTACTTGCCTTGTGTGTACACCAGGCCCTGTTTGCTCTCTGCCGGGGGGGGGGGGGGGCACAGAGGCGTTGTCCAAATTAGCTCTCTTCGTAACTATGCGCTGAATGTATTTACTGCATAGCTTAAACTGCCAATGCCTCCTCGACTCTTAGATTGCCTACCGTATGTTTTTCTTGTGTGCTTTAGCTGTACGCCTGGCCTCTCCTTGAAACTGTGTTCTCAGAAGTGCTGACAAGAGAGGAGTGGCTCCGGTTGTTTGATAATGTCTTCTCCAATCACCCCTCCTTCCTCCTGATGACCGTGGTGGCCTACAATACCTGCTCCAGAGCACCTTTGCTCAACTCGACTCTTAAGGACGATTTTGAGGTAAATACCCGTCCGCAGAGAAGGCTCTCTAGGCTGGAAGCCCTGTCAGTGGTGGAGTGCTTGCCTACACACGAGGCCCTGGGTTCCGCCCCATCCCCACCAAGCCAACAAGAAACCCACACAAGGGCTCTCAAATCGCACTTGTTTACACCAAGAGGGACATTTCCTGACTGAGCGTCTACTGGATCAGGCATTAGTGCTAAGTAGTAGAAATGCAATAGATACAAAGTTGGACCTTGTGTAGATTATTGACAAGCGGGTTGTGATAACCGCGTTGTTTTTCGTCTGTAAAGAGCATTGAACACTTGGTTGGTTGTTCTCTTGGTTGAGCAATCTCATTAGCAGTCCCTGTGGTCTGTGGTCATCTGGAGGTGTGTGTAGAATAGTACCTGGGAGTTTGATTGTGCTCGGCCTGTTTGGGATTTTTGAGACAGGGTCTTGGTATGTAGCCCAGGCTGGCTCAGTCTCACTCTGTAACTCATGAGAGTCCTCTGCCTTTGCCTCCCGAGTGCAACAGTTAAAGACGAGTGACCTGTGACATCAGCATTGGGAAGGCTGAGGCAGGAGGATCACAAGTTTGAGGCCAGCCTAGGCTTTATAGCAAAATCTTGGCCAGCCGAGCTGTTACACAGTGACAGAAAAGCAAATTATTTCTGTAACTGGTCCCCAGCCACCACCACACACACCTACACACACACAGGGTCCCCACACACACACACACACACACACAGAGCCCCCCCCACACACACACATAGAGCCCCTCCCACACATACAGACACACACACATACACAGCCCCTCCTCCCACGCAGAGCCCCATACACACAGACCACACACACAGACCCACAGAACCCTCCCCACAGACCACACACACACCCAGCCCCCACCCACACGCACACACTCAGAGCCTCTCCTTCCCTTCCCTGTGCTCCCTGAACTCTGTCTTCACCGTTCAGGCCTCGCCTTTGCCACCGTCCCCTGTAACTCCCCAAGGTCCCTTGCTCTGCTTCCCCTGCCCCTTGAGTGTGTCTCCTCACTCTGACTGCCTCTTCTGAGTAATAGTGTGCTTTACCAACTAAACCCTGATTGAAAATTCACATTGTCTTCCAGTATTTTTTTCACCATCGGAATAACCTGGACATAAACGTTGTGATTAGAGAAGTGTATCGTCTCATGGAGACTACGCCTACTGATATTCATCCAAGTAGCATGCTGGATGCTTTTGTTGCATTGACAAAAGGGCAATACCCCATATTTAATCAGTATCCAAAGTTTATTGTGGACTATCAGACACAGGAACGAGAAAGGATCAGGAATGACGAATTGGATTTCTTGAGAGAGAGGTAACCATGTGTGATTAGACATATAAATAATCATGATATGAATTAGACATTATAAATAAGGTTTTCTTCTTTAGAATGTCCCTGTATGAGCTTGTGGGCATTGTGTGTGCAGGTGCCCAGCTGAGGCCAAAGGGCACCAGATCCCCTGGAGTTACAGATCATTGTGAGTTACCAGGTATGGGTGCTGGGAATCAACCGGGTCCTCTGCAAGAGAGCACACGATCTTAACCTGAGCCTGTTTTCCTGCTCCGGGTGGAAGTTTTAATGAGAAATCCATTTGAATTCGAAAGTGTGTGTGTAAAATCCAAATTTGAAGGCTAGAAATGTCTCTAAAGAGGTCTAGTTTCTCCTGTACCTGAAAATAAAACCACATGTTGTACTTTCAACAGGTCCTACATTTTATATCTGGGATGTTTTGAATTAAAGCACTTAACTTTCTTGTTTGCCTTTTTTATAATACTAATATTGTCTACTCCAGGCAGACAGTTGAAAATATGCAAGCTGAAGTAGATGAACAGAGGGCTGAGGATGAGGCTTGGTACCAGAAGCAAGAGCTGCTCCGTAGAGCTGAGGAGACCAGAAGAGAGATGCTTCTGCAGGAGGAGGAGAAAATGACCCAGCAGAGACACAGGTGAGTCCTCATGGCCCAGCAGGACACAGGTGAGTCCTCATGACTCAGCAGGACACAGGTGCAGTCCTCACGGCCCCGCAGGACACAGGTGCAGTCCTCATGGCCCCGCAGGACACAGGTGAGTCCTCATGACCCCGCAGGACACAGGTGAGTCCTCATGGCCCAGCAGGACGCAGGTGCAGCCTACTGCTCTGGGAAACCTAGGACAGGGGTCAGATAAGTTCTGCTCCCTCTCCTTCTCTTACATAGAACATTGTATGTAAAGTTACCCAGTGTAATTTCCATTAAGCAAATGTGTAAGGTAATAAAGTGTATGTGCCATCTAAACTTATAGGCAGTAAAATTAATTCTAAAGCAATGTTGAATCTGGCCCCTGCATGAATTTTCAGAAGTAATATAAGCTATAGTGTATTTTGAAAACCATTATTTAGCAATATTCATTCTAACCCAAATATAATTCATGCCCTTCATCCCAACACCCTGGGAGGCAACACCGAGGCAGGAGGATTGCCGGTTTCAGGCTAGTCTGAACTTCATAGTGGGATTCCAGACCACCCTAGGTGGGCTACAGTGTGAGACCGAGTCTCTATTTAAAAAACAAAACAAAATCAAACAAACAAAAAAAACTTTCTATGGTAAGCTGATAAGCTTTGTAATAGAGTATTGGAAAATCACTCTTGGTGCAATGTAATTTTGTTTTTGTTTTTTCAAGACAGGGTTTCTCTGTGTAACAGCCCTGGTTGTTCTGGAACTCCCTTTGTAGACCAGGCTGACTTTGAACTCACAGAGATCCCCTGCCTCTACCTCCCTAGTACTAGGATTAAAGGCATGAGCCACCAGTACCTGACTTTTTTTTTTTTTTTCAAGACAGGGTATACCAGACTGGCCTCAAACTCATGGGGATCTGCCTGTATCTGCCTACCAAGTGCTAGGATTAAAGGCACGAGCCACCATCTCCTAGTGCAATGTAATTTTTAAAATGATCCAAAAACTTAAACCATTTATTTCCTCGTGCGTTTAAAACTTGGGCAATGCCAGGTGTGGTTGTGCATGTTTCTAATGCCACCACTTAGGATGCAGAGGCATGTAGAACTCTTAGTTCAAGGAGAGCCAGGACAGCCAGGGTTGCATAGAGAGACCCTGTCTCACAGCAAACAAACAAACAGGATCTTTGACAAGAGGCTGGACAGATGGCTCAGTGGTTAAGAGTATTTGCTGCCCTTGTAGAGGACCTGGGTTTGGATGCCAGCACCCACAAGATATTCCCAACCATCTGTAACTTCAGTTCCTAGGATCCAGTGCCTCTTGTGGCCTCTACAGGCTCCAGGAATGCATGTGGTGCACATACATACACGCAGGCAAATAAATGAAATTAAGTTTTAAGTATGTAAACTTCGGCAGAGAGGAAATCCCTTGCCCGAGCTTCCCTAGCACTGAGGTGTGTCGTGTACCTCCACAGTCAGCTTAGGAAACTGACTTGTCTCCAAGTCTATTGATCCTCATTTCTATGGGCAGTTACAGAACTGCAATTTCAGAACTGATGGCCTCCACTAGAACTATAAAGGATGTGGGTACCCTGCTTGACGCCATTGTAGTGGTTAAAGCGCATCACTTGTGCTGAAGTGATGCGATCGCGCCGGCCTGCAGCTTGCTGGTAACGCGCTTGCTGTGCATGCAAGAGGCCCCCAGATTCCATCGGGGGCAGGGAAAGCTGCACAGGTAGACCAGTGGAAGGTAGAGTCAGAAGGCTGGCCGGATGCACTTGACCATGGCCCTCGAGTACTGACTTTGTTTATTGTATACACAATTGTGTTGCAGTGAACAAAGTGTATCCCAACAGCACAGGCAACTCAGTGGGGAAGAAGAAAGAATCAGAGATGTACTGGAAAGTGCTTTGATACAGTTTGTTTTTCAGGCTAGCTGCGGTGAAAAGAGAGCTGAAGATAAAGGAAATGCACTTACAGGATGCTGCCAGGAGACGCCTTCTGAAGCTCCAGCAAGATCAGCGTGAAATGGAGCTGCGCAGGCTGGAGGACGAGATTGAGAGAAAGGTTTTTCAGCTTCATCTTAATCGAGCTCTCCCTTCACCCCCATGTCACGAGCACCTTCAAACCACGCCATGATGCTAGTGCCCACCATGCTTGCTAAACAGCTCCTCCTCTAACTTTCTGCCATTCCTATACCAGGAAATTAGTTCTGGTATAGTGACTTTCTACAAGTTGTGAGCTGCGGAAATTCTCTTCTCTTTTATAAAGTTCACATGTGATCAATACAAAAAGGATTTCCAGTACGGAACATCTGGAGTTAGAGAGCTGGGTTTTTGTGCTTCCTCAGTTCTAAAGCTACAATGTCTGGGGTATGCATATCTTAAGTGTGTAAGTGACTAACTGTGGTGTATTCACTAGAGAAATACTACACAGCCACAATATGGAACGCAGCATGGAAAGACATTAAACAGTCAGGTTTTATAATGTGCCACAGAAATAGAAGGCAAATAAAAATGCATACATAAGAAAATATAAACATAGTTACTCCACCTGTAGAGAAATACAGGAAGTCTGTAATTAACCATTTTCTAAAAACAAAAGCCCGGTCAGTCTGTCTCTGAAGAGGAAATGTCTGTAGATGAACAGTGACATTTCTGACCAGACAGGCAGCGGCCTGCATTCCTTTGCCCTTGGCCTTTACAGTTTTTTTTTTTTTTTTTTTTTTTTTTTTACCCAGCAGTCACACATAGCTGGTGATGGCCATGCATTGTGTGGCTGGGATGTTAACCCTTGTTTGAGGTAAATATTTTCAGCTGGCTTTTACTGCTTGCCTCTTAAAAAATGTTTATGGTGTCATTTTTTGTTTGTTTCTAACAGTATCTTAGTTTTTAAATTATTGGCAAGGTGTGTGGTTGTGTCAAAAACCTTGTGACCCTCAAAGCCTAAACTATTTACCATCCGATGCTTTGTGGAAAAGGTTTGCCAGCCCCGAGTGTCTCTGAAGATTGACTGTGAGGAGTGAGCCAGGGACCAAGCTCACCTCCTTATAGAACGCATGCTGCATGCTGCTGTCCCAACGTCCTTGTTGAGTGTTAGCTTAGTTGCCTGCTGAGGTTACTACTGCACAGACTCCTTGTGTATCCTCTTCTCCCTTGTTTGTTGCTGTTCAGCACCACAATGGGTGACAGCAGCTGTGGCTCTTTAAGCTGGGCCTAATCCTCACAAGTTGTTCTTTGACTCAATATCTCAAACATTTACATTCCAGAGACTTTGATCTTCCTGAATCCCCACTCCCATCCAGTTGAAATTCTCCTCATTATTAAATTTATGCATTAATTTTGGAAACTTAAAACCTGGCCTTATAAAACATTTACCTCAATACCTCTTGTTTAAGGCCAATTAATTTTAATTGGCTTTTACAAGCTGCAGCTCTTTTAAGGTACTTCATCCAGTGAATCAAAGTAACAGCTTTGTGTTCTTCATAAAAAGTCTGAGTACCTTCCCAAAAGTGGTCCATGCTCAGAAGTCTGATGTCGCCATCCCAAACCCACTTGCTGTACCGTAGGGCATCCCGAATCCTCTGAGTGGCAGCAGAGAGGCCCTGCTACCCTGGCTGCCTGCTCCTGTGCATGCTGTGTGTTCTGCCCGCCCAGCTCCGGCAGGGCCATGCGAAGGGCTACTCACGGACTGGTGGTCTTGGTGTGTGCTGTCTCTATCTCTGAGAATTCATAATCAAGTGACTGGACCTCCACAGCATGCGGTGCTGTGCCCAGCCTCTGCTTCCCCTCTCTGTGTGGCCAGGGCTCCGGCTTCATGCTCAGGCCTGATCTTAGCTACTGCGTTCCTGTAGCTTCCTTAAGGTCAATTGCACAGTGTTTATTTTACCCCTTAAACGTGTGTCTCTGCATCCCACAGTGTCCTCATTTTTATTGCTTCTTATGAGGATTTAATAGCTTGCATTTTAGTCAACAGATATTTGGTAGTGATAATGCTACAGTTGTTAAACCTTTGCTGAATGAATGATGGGGATTGCCAGTTGGATAATTAATTGGTGATAGTTTCATTTTCCAAATACACATCATGTACTCTATTCTCACCCTCAAAATAACTGGGTCTGTAGGATCCAAATACTTAGGAAGACGCTATAAAGAGTCCCTTATCCAACCCCTGTCTTACAGAAGTGAGGCCCCCTAGTAATGAGACTTGGGAACAGTGAGCTCCAGGTGAACATGATCCCGTCAGGTCACAGGAAACTTCAGCCTGGACTTAGGAGTTGCGAAGTCAAATTTATAAAATAATTTAGAAGCTTAATTTTTTAAATTAAACAATATGTTGTTTTAATAAGAGTAAACATTATTTCTCTCCTCCCTAACTTGCATTTTCCTTTAACAGGGAGCTGCTTAATGTACAGGGAAGAGCTGCCATCTGCTAGTCAGTCTGTCTACGTGGGCATATGGCGCTTGTGCATGCTTTCTAAAAAATAAGCTTAGCCCAGATTCGCCCTAGATTCCATGAGAGTACTACTGCGCTGCCAGTTACTCTGTTTTGAACCCAGTTCCTGGTGGTTGTTGTTTTTGGAGTGCTATTAATTGGGCTACCCAGATTACAATATTATAAATCCCTTCAAAATTGTGCGGTGAGTTCTGTGGGGCCTTGACAATTTGTGATTGGTCCGCAGATACAAATGAGAGATCAAGAAATTGCTGCCACAGCCAAAGACCTGGAAATGAGACAGCTGGAACTCGAATCACAAAAACGACTTTATGAGAAGGTAGGAGCCAGCTCCCTCCGGGAGAAAAGTGCTGCCCTTCAGCCCCTAGAGGCTGCTCATTTGTGGCTTGCCCTGTTCGTTTTATTTACCGAAGCAGACTATCCTGTCATCATGGATTGTAGGTTAGCAAATGTCGGAATGCAGTATGTGTAATACTCAGATTCCCAGATCCCCACAGTGTAGTCACAGGTCTGCGGCACCAGCTGGAGCCCAGCTTTGGCCTCAGGATGGCTTCTGTTTGCTGAACTCCCCGGCGGGCATTTGTGTGGCAGTGGCTGAAATCACCCTATCTGAAGACCTGAGTGGGAACTTTCCCACCCTGTGAGGTGCACGGTGCCCAGATCCGGGGCCCTCCCAATCTGAACCGCTGCTTGTGGGACATTTAGATTAGAGGGATTCCCTGATCCTTTGAGAGCATAGGAGCATGAAGCAAGAAATGTGAGATACTCCGTATCTGAATTGTCCGAAATTAAGTCAGCAAACGCGCAGTTAGGGTATATATTTCAGTTTTTGTCATTGAAAAGAACTATTAATGCAAGTTTTTATTTGAGAAAACCATTTTGTTACTCGTTCAGTGATAATTCAAATAGCATGATGTGATTCTTTTTCTGAATGGCTATGGATCCTCACAGTTATCTGCAGTAGTTGTTGTTGAGCTAAGCATGATCTAAACTCAGATGTTTGGGCTGGAGAGACAGCTCAGTGGGTAAGAGCCCTGGCTTTCTTCCAGAGGACCCAGGTTCAGTTCCAGGTGCATACACTTCAGCTAGAAATCATGTGTAACCCAGTTCCAGGGTGCAGGCTGGGGTAATCCAGTGCCCTCTACAGGCATTATACACACACAAGTACACTTAAAACAACACAGGCAAAGTGGTTTATAATTTAGCAATAAACATCTTTGTACATGTGCCTCTTCTGTATGTCACTGAAAAATACTTTTATTTTTAGGTAATTGTGAGGGTAAGTTAAGCTGCTTGGAGATGATTAGAAAAATACAAATCTCTGAGTCAAGAAATAACCCCTGGGCCTTGAGCAGCGGCACAGCAGTTCAGAGCTCACGTGGCAGCTCACCACCATCTGTGACCTGTAACGCCAGCCCCAGGGGCTCCAGCTCCCTCTTCTGGCCTCCATGGGCATTGCATACATGTGGCACATATAAATCCATGCAAGCAGAACATTCATACACGTCAAACAATGTTTTTTAAAGAAAGAATTGCTGGGGGCTGGGATTTCATCTTATAGATTTAACACTGAGTAAGTTCAGTCATTAAGAGTATGTACTGCTCTTGCTGAGGACCAGAGTTCATTTCCCAGCACCACATCAGGTGGCTCCCAGCTACCAATAACTCTAATTCCAAGTCTTCTGAGGACACCCATGCTTCACACACACACACACACACACACACACACACATACACACACAGACACACACACACACACATGATTTAAAAGTAAATCTTAAAAGGAAGTAACTCCCAGGGCTCTATTTAGTGGTAAAACACATGATAGACCACACAGGCCCTGTGCTTATCCCAATACTGTAAGAAAAAAGCAGCTAATGTCATTCACAGTGGTCAGTGAGACTCCTGGTACATACAGTTTGTGTTCCGTCTGCTTTTAACTTAGATCATCATGAGGGCTGTTCACTTCCCACATGCCCCAGCTTTCCATTCCCCCACCCAGAGCAACTACTGATCTTTTTTCCGACTCTATGGATTGGTCTATCCTAGATATTTCCTTTAGATGCAGCATATATACAATATCTTCTCTAACTGGCTTCTTTCCGGAATGTTGTCAAGGTTTATCCATGCCGTAGCATAGCTCAGTGCTTTATTCCTTTCCATAGCTGGGTAATAACACACTATAGAATGCTGAGGAGCCCTGCGGGGTTGTTGTGCATACCTAGCACTCAGCCAGGTGACTTGCAGCCCCAGCTTTGACTTTACTTTCTGATTGTGTGAAACTGCAATGATAACCAGAGCGTGAGCATGGGACCCTCTCAGGTCTGCGCACACAGCCCTTGGCTAGTACCTTCCACACGGTCTCCAGGGTGGCCAGCCACGGCTGCTGGTTTTCAAAGTCTGATGCAGAGCTGGGGGTGGGTGGGAATGGATCCTAAGCCACATTCTCCAGCATGCCATACCCCTGTTAACTTGTAGAATTTAGACGATGATTCCGACATGCTTGCCATTCTCAATGCATTATGGAGAAGTTTCTCAGGGTCCCAGTCAGTGAAGTCACCTGTTTCCTTTTTACTTGACAATGAGATGGTTACAAATGTCCTTGGGGTCTGAAGAAAGCAAAGTCCCTTTGTGTTCTACAGGATCTTTCTAGAAGTCAAGATGCTATTGCAAAGGAAATCCGAGAAGATGCAGATGCCCATAGGCAGAAAGTGGCTCTTGAAGAACACATGTTCCAGAATCTGCTAGAATCCAGCCAGATGGGGAGCAGAAGGACTCAGAGGGTGAGAGCCTACTGAACCTGGAGTCCACAGCAGGAGCTGAGGGCTGACCTTCTGAGAATACACATTTGGAAGTTTTTGAACTTGCAGTAATGCATTTGTTTCGTTTGCCTGAGTCTTAGGGGCTCCCGGGCTCTGCGTTCATGGGTTGTTGAGTGCATTGGCCTCATTCGTCTGACATGCCCTTTGAGAGAACATTAAGCATGGGAGAACTCATAACTTACACATTATTCAGTCCTGCTGTGCTCTCCTCAGGAACTGTCCCTGAGAGCACAAGGTCGCACAGCCTCAAGGCTCTGCCTTGTGTACAAGCCAAACTTTTCCAGACTTTTCCCTGTAGGAAATTCGTAACTTTTATCAAGCAATGTGGGATGCCCGTCGGGCTTGGAAACACTGGCATAGAATGAAGGGATTGTGCCAGATTTGAGGGTGCAGTATATTGGTGAAGCCTTAAGAAAAAAAAAATTCCAATTGTTTTATAGTTTGTTTTTTGAGACAGGCTTTCTCCGTGTAGTAGCCCTGGCTGTCCTGGAACTGGCTCTGTAGACCAGGCTGGCCTTGAACTCTCAGAGATCCACCTGCTTTTACCTCCCAAGTGCTGGGATTCAAAAAAAATTTTTTTTCCAATTATTTTATAGAATCTCTTACGAAGTGCCCTTTCAGAAATGCTAGCTGAAGTGGGTTGAGGTAGGACTTGAGATTTTGAGAACTTTCTCCAAGGTCCCTGTAACACAGTGTTAAGTGAGTGTATACCAGACTGGCTCTGTTCTAAAAATCAGGAATGGTGGGGCTCAGAGGCACCTTCTGCACCCGTCTGAGAGCTGATCCCTCTGAGGTACCATCCTGTTTTGTTTCTCTCACAGGTTTTTGTGCATCTGAAAACGGACTTTTTCTAACTGCTTTTCAGGGTGTTAAAAAGAGAAGTTGTTGAGCCTTGCCTTTTCTCTAGCCTGAAAGTTCTCAGTGTTGGCTGAAAAGCAGTCACTTCGGGAGACTTAACACCTGATCTTGAGCTGGCCTTGAACTCACAGTCCCATCCCCCACCCCACGTGTGTCTGCTCAGCTGGTGCACTGATGGATTTAACTGGTTTATGGTGGGGCCGGGAACTCAGTTGGTTTAAACACCCTGGTGACTGTTACCACAGCAAACAGCTAGCAGACAGTGAGTGGACAGACGTCCATGTCTTACATGATTTCATCTTGTTGCTGAAATTTCTTTTTCTTAGGTAATTGAGGACAATTTGGCAAAAGCTGAGCAAGCCTGCCTGAACGCTGACTGGAAGCTTCAAGCTTTACATAAACAGAAATATGACGATCTACAGCGCAGCGAGGGCTACCAAGAAGTCGCCACTCTCCTCCGGAAGAACAGGAGGAAAGAAATGCAGATCCTAAATGCGATGGTGGAGGAGGAAGCTAAGAAGGTGAGGGAAACTTACAAAGGTATTGTTGGTATGCTAAGCTAATCTCTTCCTTTGCTGGCTGGCTGGACGATGACTGGACCAGGCAGGGCCTTTCCAATACAGGCAGGCACTCTGCCACTGAGTTATGCCCCTAGCCCATTAGTGATCAAGATACAAGGCTGTATCTTGTTATGTTATGTGATGGTATGCAAGAACGTCACCTAACACCGAGGTGCTTGCACGCACGTAACCGGTATCTTTCTGGTTCGTATTGTCATCTCGGCCTGTCAGCTCCTGGGTTCGTTCTTGCTGATTTCATAGTATTACTGCCTTAACTTCCCCAGCTCTTTATAATTAAAATGTAAAAATGAATTTGAGTGGCAGACCTGCAGCCAGTAGCGTTAGCGTTAAGGAGGATGGAAGTAGTTTTCTTGTTTCCGGGGGGCTTGAAATTCACTAGTCAGTCATCCCTGACATCATTTTAAGATGAATTTCCTCATTTTATAGGGAAAGAGCTGGGGCTAGTAGAAATGACTAGATTTTTATGATCAGAGCCAAGCAAACATTGCTTCTCTGAATTTTGTAGTCTGTTACTTAGGCCTCACAGTAAAGGAAACTAATTCCCGCCAGTGGGCAGCTAGCTGGGTCTCATAAGGCCTAGAACCTGTGAAGAACAGTTGCTGCATCACTGCTAGCGAGACCTGCCTCTGCTCTCGGGGTTCTAATATAGCCACAGGCCACCACAGACACCCCGAGTCCCACAGGTCCTGCGTGTTTCACGACCGCAGAGAAGTCTGTTTCCCGTTTCTGAGGGTGTGTTTGTCCTTCTTGTGTGCAGTGGAAGGAAGCTGAAGAAAAGGAGTTTCATTTGCAGTCAGAAAGGAGAGCCTGTGCCCACTCAGATGCCTGCAGAAAGTGGTTCCTAAAGCAGGAGACGAGTGCAGCTTTGGAACATAGTGGAGAGCCACCGAGTGAAGGTGAGTGGTACCCGCGGGGTCTGTGCGGCTACCAGGGATAAATTCTACAGGCCTGTTCTGTTGCCTTCATCAAGTTGTGCTTGGCTAAAAGGAAGTAGTGCCCTTTTGGGGAGGAGAGGTACAAGGGAAGGGAGGATGGGGGTTGAACTGATAGAAAACAGCCTTGAGCGAGGGATAGAGCTTGTCATTAGAGGGCTTGCCTAGTGTGCAAGGAGCCCTAAGTTCAGTGCCAGCAAAGAACCAGGAAGGGCAGGGTTGGTAACCACTCCTGCAGGTGAGTTTGCCCAGCACGGTTCCTGCTCGTTCTCACCCCTCTCTCCTCTCTTCCCTTTCCTAGCAGAAGTGCCCTGGTTGCAAAGGGAACGCATGGCCTCAAGCTATTTGCCCCAAACCTCACAATTCAATGACGTTTCTGAAATGGACCCTGCAGCACAGAGTAAGTTGATAAATAAGGCAGACGCTGTCCTTGCCTATTTCACAATATTTATGCAGAGTGCAGGCTGAAGGAGCAAGGGCAGCACAGGTGTGGTTTCCTGGGCACTGGCAGGAGGAAGCCCAGAAAGGACACAGCTCTGCTGGGGAAGACAGGATGGGGAGGAGCCTGAGACAGAGGTCACGTGACTCCATTTCTTCAACCCAGCACCACTGCCCCAAAACAGCCTGGGCGACACTGAATAGACTGTAACATAGATCCAACACTCCAACACCCCACCCTCACACCCCCCACATCCTCCCACCCCCACCCCTACCCCCCCACTCCCCCACCTCACCCCCACCCCACCCCCACCTATTAGACTCTTAACTGGCTTTCCAATAAGGCTTTGTATAGATCAAGGCAAAATGCGATTTTTTTTTTTTTTTGGTCTTGTGAGGTCTCTTAGAAGACAAGCTTTATCAGAGGTATTGCTAATGACAAGTCATGACATTCCATACTACATGAAGTATTTTTGCTGAGTCCTATTGTATGGATCCAGAAGTTCTATGCCAGAGTAAGAATTAAGCCAAGGATCCTCTAGGAGGCCGGTGGAATGTACGAGGTTCACATCTGGTCTCTCCCTGACACCCCAGAGCTAAACCTTTGCCTCTTGTGGTTCACTGTCTTCCCCCAAGAGGGGACCACACACACACACACACACACACACACACACACACCAGCAGCCCCAGTAGAGTTTAGACTTAGGCCAGGTAACAGGGAAGAGCCAACTGAGTTTGGGTGATTTGACAGCAAAATGAAAGCTGCCTTCATTTGGGAGTGAAATTCAGAAACTGGAGCTGTTTAACTATGTAAAGTGTGCTCCCTCGAGTCTGACTCATTGTTACCAGCTCCTCCATCGGGATGAAGTGCTATAACTTGAACAGGGTGTTACTTTAGTTCGGGACCTCCCTGACTTTAGCTGCTGCTAGAACACCCTGTATTTGGGAAAGTTGCTGTGGACTGAGGTTCAGCTCATAACTTGGAGTCTGTCCTTTCTCCTTTCCATTGAGCATCTTGGTGGCGTGTGTGCTGTCCTGAACCATTCAGCTTCCCAGCCAAGCTTTGTACCTAATTTACACATATGCTGTGTGCTCAGTAGCTGAAAGCTGTTAAGTTCTCCGCTGACATTCATCCAGTTCAGCAACAGCAATAGCAAAAAAGCTGACCTTTTTGTTCAGGATTTTTGTTAGGGTATTGGTTTTGTTACTGACTTTTGTAACATGATCCCACTGTAGGTAAATACTGCATTAGTGCATCAGAAAGCTCAACTGCTGATAACTAAATTTTGTATTCAAGGTTTTCCAAGCAGGAAAGCGACAGAATGGGACCACATGGAACATGATCTTCTCAAGAGAGTGCGCAGTCTTCGCCAGAGACTCACCGCCCAGGCTCAGAACAGGTGTCAGCCCCCTCATCTTATGGTGACATAGAACACATTTCACCATGAAACAATCAAAGAGATACCTTTTTTAAATCAATGGCACTGATTTTTCAATTATTTATTCTAGATTTTTATAAAGGACCTTTTGTATAGAGAAATATGTCTATAAAATTATGTTTTCTATTGAATGTTAATGCTTTTGGCATGTAAAAGGCTTCCAGAGTGTTCCACAGTAAAGGTGTTTGGAAACTATTAAAGCCAGCACAGACTTCACAGCCTTTAGCTAATGAGATGGGGTTTATTTTAAAGATAAAGAATAAATAAAGAACAGGACTCCACGGTCAGGGAGACTACCGAGTGAGTCCAGGTACATGCTCCAAGCCCGATGGCCTGAGTTCATGGCCTCACAGGGTGGAAAGAGAAAACCACGTTGTTCTCTGACTATCACACACTCGTGTGCCCATCGTAAGTAAATAAAAGCACTTTACTTCAAACAAGCAAACTGGGTTTCTGCAGCAGCAACAAGCAGGATTGGGCTAGAACCCTGCAGTTGTGGGATTGAGGGCATGGCAGCTGCCTGCTCTGCACTTCCGGCAGTGAGGGCTGTGGGGCCTCTTTTGTGTGACCCCACCCAGCACAGCACAGTCTCTGGCTCAGCTTCTCCTGCCCTCTGCTGACAGCAGGCAGTACTGCACTGCCAGCGCTGCAGGGGGCTCCCAGGCTTCCTTCCTCCCTGAGGGACAAACGAGAATTGCCAGCTTGTATCTGAAGTTCCTGGCCCAGCACTAGACAGAGAGGGTCTGTGTGGTGCGCTGTTGCGATTCTGTTTTCTGGGGTCACTAAGAATAATCTTCCCAAATGCTTCTGAAAAATGATCTCCTTTGTCCACAGAGGCACAGGAGTAAAATACCACCCTGTCTTTGTACAGACATTGGCTTCCCAGGAGCAGTCCCTAAGCCTGGATATTTTCAGGGCTACAGTGCAGGCAGTTGGTGGTGTTTTGCCACAGAAACAGGTACAGAATGTAGACTATGGTGGACACTTTAGTTCAAGTTCTAAAATGCCTGCCATAGTCAGCTGTGTATCGCCAGCGTGTCAACAAAGAAAAGCATTTATCTGTGTGTATGTGTCTGCCTGTGTGGGTTGGTGTACACTACGTGCGTGCGGGAACCCAGACAGGTCAGAAGGTGTCAGATCCCCAGGAACAAGGGTTACAGGTGGTTATGAGCCATCTTGTGAGTATTAGGGACCAAACCCAGGTTCTTTGGAAGAATGTGTCATAACTGCTGCGTCATCTCTCCAGTTCCTTTTAGGTCCTCTGTGACTAGAATTCGGACCTACTCAAATTACCTTTGTGTGTGTGTGTGTCCATCCATGTCCATGTCTGTACCCATGTTCTTGGACATGTAGCACCTCATTTTTTTAATTTTCCATCCTTGTGGCAGAAGGCATTCAGGACTACTGCCACAGTAGTTTGGTCAAGGCAGTTTTCTCTTGCCTTCTCTTGTTTTCTGAGCCCTACAGTGATCTTGCTAAAGTCACTGCTTTAGTAGCCTTCAGACCCGGGCGGGATAGCCACCTGCTCTGAGTGGGCATTTCAGTGGCTATCATATTCAACTAAATATATAATAAAAGACATTTCCAGTTGCCTCTTCCTGCTTCTTAACTCCCCATCCACAGTCTTACCCAGGGCTCTTTCTTTGTTTTCTGAACTTTCTTGAACTTTTTTAAAAATGTGAATTCTCTGCAATTGAATAAACATTGAACTTGACTAAAATGTTCCCATTCTGATTGCACCCAAAGAGTTTCTAAGGCCTATTCTTGAGTGTGTGAATGACTTATGCATAATTGCTCTGTTGGTAAGACTTCTCTTTGGGCTTCGGCTAATTGGCTAAGTCCACATCTGGCTACACTCCAACATGATTGGGGAGTTATACACATATACATGGTTATGTGCATGTGGGGATGTAACACAAAAAGTAAAAACCCAGAGACAGATATTGGGGTTCAACCTTCAGGCTGGAGACCAGAGAAGCAAAGCAGGCAAACTAGATCTTACCTCTGCCCAGCTGAAATGGCAATCCTGTCTCCATGAATCCTCAGAGGCAAAAGGTTCTCAATTCCTGTCTTCTCCTTTTATTCCTCTCTCCACCCAGCAATATCCTGTCTCCACCTCCCTAGTGCTGGGACTAAAGGCGTGTGGTTCCAGTGCTGTGACCAAAGGCGTGAACTCTGTTATTCTCCACCTTTGTATAGGCCAGGATGTCCATGAACTCAGAAAATCAATCTGCCTGTCTCCTGAGTCCTGGGATTAAAGGTGTGTGCCAGCTCTGCCTGACCTGGACGATTTTGCTTTCTGAATCCTCAGGCTAGCTTTAATAAGGCACAAATAAGGTGTTACCAAATGGAGGTCAGAGGACAACCCCAGACAACAGTTCCCAAGTCCCCTCTGCCTTGTTTTTTGAGACATGGCCTCTCGCTAGCCTGAAACTTAGCAAATAGGCGAGTCTGGCTAGCCAGTGAGTCAACCCCAGGGACCCACCTGCTTCCACATCTCTGTCTGGGATTATAAATGTACACACCATGTCCAGACTTTTTTTTTTTTTAATGTAGGTTCTGTTACTAGAAGAAGTTCTTTGTCCCAGCTGGTCCCACTGCCCTTCAGCCCCATTCATTGTAAAACTATTGGCCAATGATTTGGGCTTCTTATCGGCTAGCTCTGTCTTAATTATTAACCCATTTCTATCAGTCTAAGTATTTCCACGTGGTCGTTCCGGAAGAAGGGTCCAGACCTGTTACTCCTTCCGTGGCCTACCTGGCAACTGTTCTGGCTAGCCCCCACTGCCTACTTTTCCCAGGATTCTCCTCATCCCAGTCCCGCTTATCTTCCTGCCTCATTGGCAAGACAGTATTTTATTCATCAACCAATAAGAGAAACATAGATACAGAAGGCCTTAACCCCACAGGTCCTGGGGATTGAACTCAGATCCTCATGTTGGGACTGAATCAGCTGAGCTTTACCAACCAGCCCCTATGGTGTAAACTGAATGGCCTTGGATCCGTCACTATCTGATCAGAGGACTTTTCACATCTATATTCATGCATTCATAAGACTTTTCTCCAGTGCTGAACAAGGTTTGGTAAAGGTCTTTCTCCCCAAAGTGACAGCTGCAGCAGCTGACATGGACGAGCATTGTGTGGCTTGATGTATGAACGGGGGTGCACCGAGCAGAGATTCTGAATCTGACCCTTCATCTCATTGTACCAGTCTGGGTCCAATCCACACAACTAAGCATGGCAAGTGGAACAAAAGACGTAATAAACACGTAAGGAAACCAGTATAGATGAGAACACTGGAAGGTACCAAATGCCCAAGGAGAATATGCCAGTAGGACAGACTAACAAGAGAGGCATTTCTACCTGAGCTTGTCAGGGACCCACACTGTCCGGAGCTGACAGCTGAGCATACACAAAGATTCAGCGTTGGCCCACCCTAGCATCTACCCCATCTATGTATGACCTTATGGGATGGGTGATTCTGTGGAAGGATACCCCCAAGATCTCCATGGGGGTAACAGCAAGATATCCAGGAGTTTTGGTGAGGGTTCAGTGCCTCCATTAAGTTAGAAATCCCTGCTGTGGACAGTGGTCTTCAAAGCTTAGGAAGCTAGGAACAGAATCGTGTGTTTATGACATGAACCCACACACCTCCAGATGGCCTTCAGTAAGGCATCCAACGGTGGAATCATCCACAAAGCTGAGAAACTCCGTGGTAACTCTGCCGGCCACGGGTGACAGTAAGAAATGCCACCACCTATGGTCATAAGTAGTCTGTGGTAGCAGGGACCCAGTGGTTTTTTCAGTTCCCCAAGCCTGTGGTGGGTGACAGCAAGGCAGTACTTACTAGTCGGGGCCCTTTGCCTGTTGACTGTGTCTCTAAGGACGAAGGAGACGGGCAGACTGTAGCTTGGTGTGTGTATGTAAGGGAAAGACTGCAGACCCAATGGCCCAGAGCCCGGCTTGAGTCACACGGTGGACCTGAAACCCGGCCGTGTCCACTTACCAAAGTTCCCATTCCCCGCCCCAAACCTCGTGGCTGAAGGGGGGACAGAGCCGCCTCAAGGAAGGCCCTGCTGTGGCGAAGCCCCGTTGCCCCTAAATGTTCTCTAAGCCTTCCCCAAGGGCTCTTTACTGAATGAAAAGAAGGGAAAGAGAACCTCAAGCCTGTCAGGGATGACTAGACAACGAAATGACATGACTGCGGACCAGTTGGGGCTTGTGGCGACCCAGGGGTCGGGGGGTGAGGGTTTGGAATCCCAGGGTGGAGAGGGAGCCAGGAAACTAAGCCGTGCCTGTCTTCGGGGTACCTGAATCGGCCACCGGACTAAACGCACCCCGGAAAATGGCAGGCTCCCTACACTGTTCCCACCACTGAAGAAGGGCTGTTACTCCGGGCAGAGTCCTCCCGGCCACAGGTATCCCGGGCAGGGTCGCAGCTTGGAAGGTGGGGTGGGTTACATCACACACGTCCCCATGTAACTTGCTGTGCGCCCCGTGGTGGCCCGGCACGAGTGGTCGGGGCCCCTGAAGTCCTCGCGCCTGGGCGGGTCCCCACCGCTCTCCGCCCGCCTGCTCCTTGCGGGTTGCACCGCAGCACCCCAGGGAACCAAAGACCCTAACCATCTAAGCCGGGGGTGTCCTCATGGCCGGCGATCGCCAGCTCACAATCGCAAGGACTGGAGCAGCAGGTACAGGTCCTCCTCCTAGAACGTGCCAAAGCAATCTCTGTGCTGCGACCGATTCACTTTCAGGACCTGGAAAAGTGCAAAATTCATTTCTGGCAAGGGAGTCTATTTGGACGAGAAGCTACCAAAAGTATTGTGCCCCGTGTGAGGATCGAACTCACGACCTTCAGATTATGAGACTGACGCGCTACCTACTGCGCTAACGAGGCACCTATGCGCTGCTTCCGGCCAGATTCTGAAGACTCTGTTGGAAATGCCCAATGCGCATGCTCGGAGACTTGAGTTTCGTGTCGCTCTGATCCCACCCCAGAGCCCTCAGGGACTTGCGGGACCTTCGCCAGTGCCTCTCTCCATCAAAAACACAGTCATGGTAAGGGGAGCCTGGGAGACAGAGGCCGTGGTGAACTCACTTGTATTCAGAGTTTACACACCCGTGACCGCACGAAACACTCATTAGGCGCCTGCGGTGTCCTGGCCTCGTTCTCCGGGACACTCAGCCTGGAGCATCTGCGCCCAAGGAGCCTACGGTCATGATTTGCAAGCATGTGCGTAGGAGTGCACACAGTTCTGCGTCTCATCCCCACACCGCACCCCACACCC